CTAATCAGTCAGTCAGTCAATCAGTCAGTCAGTCAATCAGTCAGTCAATCAGTCAATCGGGACAAACAGTTTTATATATAGGGATATGTGGATTGCTGCTGGATTTGAGCGGATGACGGGTGGCATCCCGCCGTGCAGGCTCATGACGAAAACTCTGTAAATCCTTACTTATTTCTCAACAACTTTAAATTTGCGAGGGTAATGTATATATACAATCTACACGTAACTGCAATTAGTGGTCAATTAATGTGAGCTTCGATTGGGCAAATTGCAGATGAGAGATACAGAGGCTGTCTTTTACACATACACATCTCCACAGCCCCCATGCACCCACCCACCCACACACACACACACACACACACACACACACACACACACACACACACGCGAGCACAGAGAATGACCCAGTTTGGTAATTGGAATGCAGTCGCCCAAGGACATGTCCTCGTTGGCAGCGTTTGCCCAGCGAAATTCTAAATATGGTCAAGGCATATCGATCTATCGAAATGCGAAATACCCGGAATGTACCCTGAATTTATATAGCCATTAAATTGTCCTAATCAAGTCGAGATCTGGGCCTAATAACGAATAATTGCCGGTTCACACAGATGCTGTGGTCTGCATTTCTGTCTTATTCTTGTTGAATTAATTGTTGACCAATAGGAAACTCTGGGCAAATACTTCTAAAATGACTTTCTTGGTTTTGTTAAAAAGTAAAAGACGAAAGAAGAAATATTTTGTGTAATCGAATAACAACGAAAAACTGGCCAATGAACCGCTTCCCAGGAAGCGAATCGCTTAATTTAATAACCGGGTTTAACCCCAGACACATGCAACGTGCAAAAGTTGGCAACTTCCGCCTTTTAAAAGGCAGTTTACAAACGTTTAAAACAAATAAAAAGACGCGACAAACTCCAAATCCAAAGTCCAAATAAATGAGAGAAAAACAAATATATTTGCCAACAAGTTGGCCAGCTGGTGGGACAGATGGACTGAGGGGCAGACTGTTGGACCAGTTGGATTGCAAACAGTTGCGAATTGTGGCTTTGACTGCGTGCTTTTCTTCCATACAATTGCAGGCACAGCTCGGAGGGCAGCTGCTCGGAGGGGGCAAGCAGCAGCGAGGGGGAGGAGACGGAAGCCGGTTGCATGCCGCCGCATTATCACATCACGATACGCTGCACCCGTGAGATCGCCGGCTTCAATGGACTGAGCGAGGCGGTGAAGCGACTCGATTTCCGTCGCTCGGTGCGGGACCGCAAGCGCTTCCATTATATCTGTGCGTTCCTGCTGCTAGTGTCCAACAAGGGCATAGCCAGCCTGCCGGGCAGTGCTCAGCGTCAGCTGCTCCAAATGGTCGAGGAGGTGGCCTCACACGGTGAGTAGGCTGGCTCCCAATTGCGCCAAGCTGGAGCTAGCTAATCCTCACTCATTTTCATTCCAGTCAACGACAGTCAGCAGCATCCGAATGTGCTGCGCGGCTTGGCGCTGAAGCTGGAGCACATCGTGAACCAGGAGAACCAGAAGTGCTGGGGCAAGCCGCTGGGCAGCACCTATCTGTGGCAGGAGCACATGGCCAGGATTGAGCGCATTCAGCGCGTGGCCAGCCAGATTGAGATCCGGGAACCCGATCCGCTGGCACGGCCCAAGCTGCACGAGCTGCCCGAGGAGTGCGTCCGCGAGATAATATTGTGCATTGCCGATCATCGTGATCTCGAGTCGGCAGCCGAGGCCTGGGAGACCATGGCCAGGCTGGTCTCGGAGCAGCGCATCTGGCGTGAGCTGACACGCTTCCATTTCAATCAGCGCCAGATCAATACCATACTCGACTTGGACAAGATCAAGCAGATGGGGGAGACCAAAGACTGGAAACAGATCTATCATCAGCTGCGACGCACCTACGGGGTCAACGATGACTACCAGTTCGCCGAGGTGCTGGCACTGTGCCGCTCCTGCTGTTGCCTCTTCTGGCCCTCCGATGGTCATCCGTGCATTATCGATCAGAGTCCCGACTACAAGCAGCGTGTCGAGGAGGCGGGCGGCCAGTTGGCGCTGGCCCAGCCCGTTCCGCCGGCACAGTTCTTGAAATACTTCTCATTGTAAGCTCCTAAGACTATCCAAAACTGACCAAGGTGTGTGGCTGTGGAGTGGCAAGTGGCGTGGAGAGAGACTAAAAAGATATATTCATATTTTTAAAGCCAGCGAGAGACAGAGAGAGAGAGCGAGAGAGAGAGGGAGAGATGCAGGTGGCGCCATCGGAAGCTAAAGCTGATGAAAGCCTAAGAAATATGAGAAGCTTATGTGTGTGTGTTAAAGTTTTTTGAATTGAGTAAGGGGCAGAGCAAGAGAGGGGAGAAGAGAGAGAGAGAGAGAGAGAGAGAGAGAGAGATTTTGGTAGAGAGAAAGCAAAGTGATAAAGTCTTAACAACACTACTTACTTATTTGTATTTAAATTTTAAGAGCTCACTTCTAGGCTGGGTTCGTATAGGTTTTGATCTTGGACTAGACTTTGAACTCTGCAACGCATTCGTACATGCTAAATGAAGTATTGTTTTTTAATCCCCAAAGCCCTCAATTGCTGTTTGTTATAATTGCATACCTTTTATCGCGGTTGAGTATTCGAGCAGGATGGAGGATTTGGTCAAAGATTTTTGTTGATATAAAGCTGGAAGTGTGCATCACATTGGTTGTGATCCCACAAAACGAACCGAACAACAGTCCCAAAATGCAAAAACAATTTCAGTAATGCAAAATGAACTGCCACAAAAGTAGATAAACTATATGTTTGAAAAGAAGAAGATGGGAGAGATGCTTTTGTGCTGGAAAACTATTTTCGAAAAACTGAATGCAGAAAATACTATTTGTTGGTCTTAAGAATTATTAGGCACAATTTTGTGTATGACTTTTAAACGATCTTTTTAGCAATTAAGTGTAGATTATTTTATTGTCAGCTGTTTTTGGTGCTACATTCGAACATAAGTTACCAAGTTACCAGTTATCCTTGCCCAAAACGTTACGAAATCAAACAATTTAAATGTACACTATTTACGATATTGGGAACCTTAAAGAAGTTATAAGAAAGAAAAAAAAAAATACAATGACAAAAAACGCAAATAGAAATCATGTGATGTTGCAGGAAGCAAATCTAGAAACGAATACACCTACCTAAAGATACAACACAAACCTAAACCAACAAAAGATATAAATGTATGTACCACAAAAATAATCAGAATCAAATATTAACATATATGTGCTTGACTACGTGTCCCAAGTGCATCAGGATCCAAGCCTAATTTAATGAAATGTCGTCAGTCAGGATGCAAAATATATATATTGCTATATATGTATATACTTGAAACCTATAATAAATAAACCTAAGATTGTCTAAATGTCGAGCGGGTAAAGTACGAAAACATATTTTCAAAATAAGCCAAACAAAAACACACTTCGAGTTTATTTTTGAATCTAGACAACTCAATGAGAAATGCTTAAAGGCAGGTAAAGTACGAAAACATATTTTCAAAATAAGCCAAACAAAAACACACTTCGAGTTTATTTTTGAATCTAGACAACTCAATGAGAAATGCTTAAAGGCTTCTTGATGTACGCGGATCGGTTTAACGTGGCTGAGTTCCGCTCTCATCCAATATATGTATAAAGTTAAGATCTGATTTATAGCCAAAAACAAAAAATACATAAGTACATATGTATGTGCAGACTACTCTGCACAATATTCTGCTTTTAACTGCATGTCTAATGCGTGATCGTAGTTCTACGAACATTTTTATGTTTTAAATAAAATCTTAAATATTTATGAAGTCAAAAATGAGTAGTTTAATTTAATTATTGGATGCTCCAAGTCTAGAGAACTTCAGTTTATATATACATATCCGCCCGCCTTAAAGAAAATTGGGATCGAACGCTTTATAATTGAGAAGAGGTTTAGGCTTCACTCTCAACTTCGTTTGAATATGTGTGTGTGTGTGTATGTATGTTTTTTTCCAAATGCAGATCAAGAATACTTGTTAATTTTAAAACAAGATCTAAGATGTTATCGTCCTCTGCGATTCTCATAAATTCAAGTACGCCATGTAAGTTTTCCTTCATGCTCTTTCTGACAAAATTCAGACCAGGTACACTTTCCGCTGCACTGCAAATTAAAATAAATAAATAAAAACATTTTTCTTTAATATTGCCTTAACTGATGTTTATCAAATAACTAAAAAAGTAAAATGTTTGAAAAATTATCTATATATAAATATATTTATTTAAATAGGATGTTGGCTAATACGATTCTAATTCATCTCTATATATAAAACTATTTGTCCCGACTGACTGACTGACTGATTCATTGCTTGGCCTCTAGTTCAATTTTGTTCGATTTGCTTCAAACTTATTTTCAAAGCTCTACAGAAGAACTTAATGAATTCGTATTTCAGATTTGGGAAATTCCACTCGCAATAGTGGTAAATTGGCGGAAAACAGTTGTATGCAAGTATTTTTTTTACCATCCGATCGGTATCAAACTCATTTCAATGATCTTTCAGATAATTAACTTTATACGTACCACGGGCATAGCTCGTAACTTCTGGAATAAAATGCCCTAAAGCCATATGGTTCAATGCGTGATAAGTAATCCAGCAGCTTTTCATTTCCAATCAGGATCAACTGAATTAAAAATACTCAAATCAATCAAGTGGCACATTTATTATTTATTATATTTTTGCTATCTATCCATTCGCGGAGACAACGATTTTTAAACCGAATCGGATAACAATCAACAAAGTTTTATATCCGGAAGCCGACTTCGCCTTAAGGCCCATTATGGTGCCTATTCTGAAAAATTCCACTTCCTATTGATAGTCACTTAGTTAGGATAAACAACTTTATACAAATTGCCTCCTTACAATCAGTTTTTACTACGCTTAGCTATATTTACATTGTTAATTATAACATACATCAGCTGAACATAGAAATCAAAATAATGCAAGATGTAGCTCTGAAATGATAAGAGATTTATTTGGAAATATAAATACATGGCGTCCAAAAGATTACACCAAGTAGTAGTATTCAGCTGGTCAGCAGATAATATATATAGCATGGACATATTCCTAGCATTGAAATAATTGAATGTGTGCTCCACGGTGAAATCAAATTTGTACTAACTTAAATTAGTAGGTATAGCATTATAACATTTGGGCATTAAGTCACGCTTGAGAGAAGTGAGGAAAGCTTCAGGTCACAACAGTCTGCCGAGGGCCACGCATTCACCCAGCGCTGGTGGCTTAAAGTTAGGCGTCCAGGGGCCCAGGCTGCCGCTGGCATAGAAGTCCATGGGATAAGCATTGCTGCGTGGCGAGGCATTATCTGGCGTCAATGTGACTCAATGTAGCCCAGCACCACGGATAGCTCATAGGGATTCAGCAGGATGGACAGGCGTGGACAGGCAATCTGCACGAAGGCATCAATGCAATCGGCAAACAGTGCCAGCTTCTGTGGAAAGATCTCAGACAGCAGCGACCAGGTGGTGCAATGCAATGCCCTTGGCATGTAGACGCTTCTCCAGAAATCGGTGCACTTGAGCGCTGCCCTGTCGACCAAGTGTGCCTAGTAATCATAATGTGATCATAATGCTCCACGGTGAACTTCTTCTTCTTCTCGTACGGATCGTACTTGTAGGCCTTGTAGGCAAAGGGATAGAGTTAATAAAGTTTACAATGCAAGGCAGCTGCGTTCTGCCTACCTTCAGCAGCGGGTTACAATTCGATGGCACTGCACTGCTCAATGCTCAATAGTTCCGTGTCCATGTCCGTGTCCGTGTCCGTGTCCGTGTCCTCTTCTGAACCCAAATTGGTGTTCGGGTATGACGCAAGGACTCCATAGATTTTATTTGCATCCAACTTTATATGGAAGTAAATAAAAGAAATTTGTTATAATATCGAATTCTATTTCATTTGAATTTGTTTGATATGCGTCGAATTTAATATATTTGTGTTCCTTTCTGTTGTGGATTTTAGTTGCGATTACAGCATCTGCATTTATTTATAAAGACATTTTAAGACAATTTAAGCTCTTCTACAATAAATGCTGTACATATTTGTGTTTAATTTCATTTTCCGTTGCTTTTGGGGCGTATAAGCATTTTGACTGTCTTCAAGGAGATGGGGCCCCATCCCCAATATATGGCATCGTCTCTGGACACCTCATGATCATAGTATTTGCCATTTAAATTGCTAAAAAAAAATCAATATTAAAATTAATTGCATTTAAATTGTTTTGACAAAGCTGTGGGGATTAATACCTGTCTACACAATCACCGTACCACCAACCACCACCATTACTGTCTCGGCTTGCGCAGTTGAAAGAATTCAAATTGTCATTGTCACGATCGTATGTGGTGAATTTCCTATCTTTGTGGTATTTCAAGTTATCATCAGTTGCACTGCCCTCAGATTTGCCCAAGGTGATCAAGGTGTATTGGTCCTCCTCGCCAGAAATGGCAAATTGATCGTATCTTCTGTATTTGATGTCACCATCAAATCCTTCCATATGTATGTAGAGCTCGTGGGGTTGGGCGCGCGTCAAGCGATGAATCCTCTCGAGACCGAGGAAGAAGTCGCCATCAAAGGAACCAAAACCTTCACGATATGTGGCCCAACTCCTATAGAAATCCTCCTTACCGTTGATTCGCTGCTGGATAACCGTCCAACCAGGACCTGCTGTCGCACTGTCACAAAGTACATCGAAGGGAGCTTATTTATCCGGATTAATCTTATGGATACCCGGAGCATCAGCAAAGTCGGTGCATTCGCCGTAAACGGGCTTCTCTTCGCAGCTTTTTAGTTTCTTGGCACAAATGTGGATTTCGTTTTTGAGTTCGGATATTTGTTGGGCCTGTTGATCAATTGACTTCTTTTGTTTCTCCAGCTGCTCTTCATAGTCCTGCATTTTTATGGCATTGGAATTGGGTTTACTCATTTGCTCTTTTATTGATAAAACGTTGTTCGTTAGCTCTTTGATACTCTGTTTGTAGAATTCATTCTGAGCTCTCAGTTCCTCGATGACCAATTCATTACGTTGGTTCAGCTTTTCCTGCAGTTGCTGGATTTCCCTGTCTTTGCCTTCAACCTTATTGTTATTGTTTTCAATTTCCTCCTTCATCTGATGAATATACTTTAACAAAGGTCTCACAGCCTTATATGTGCCTTATGTGCTCTCCACATTTTTCCTCTGCTATTCTGGTTGCCACACAAGACTAAGAAAAACACGATTATTTACCGCAGTTCACGTAAACTTCAATTAAATAAACTGGTTATACCTCATTTTCGTTAGCCTGTGTTTCAGCTAGGATGAGCATTAGGCTTAAGTATAGCACATATGGAAACAAAACAGATTTCATTTTATTTAAACTGCGAATGTGGAACCGACAATCAACACGCACGACAATTGACTGAAATATGTGGATTAATTGAAAGCTCTCTAGTAGCTAAGTAACTGATAAGCAATAAGCTGTGGGTCAAGAGCTCAAAGAAATAAGAGAAAGTAAGAATACCTTCGGCAGGCCGAAAATTTAATAGCTTTGCATTTGTCTTATGGTTTTGCTAATGTGTGAGAATATTAAAGCTCGTCAATGCTGAGTTTGATGAAAATATTTTGGAAAACAGAATATTTGGCATAAAAGAACCTACTTTTCGATCGATCGTTCCTATGTCAGCTATATAATACAGTGGTCCGATATTGACAGAATGCTGCTTAGTAATACTTATAAATGCCAAGTTTGGGTAAGATATTTTGATAAGCAAAAATTTGTTCATAAAGTTTCAGTATATTGTTCCTATGACAGCTATATGATATAGTTGTCCGATATTGATAAGATTTTGCATATATACGAGGAGCATAGTGGAACTAATAAATCCCGAGTTTGGTCAAGTTATCTTAATAAAAATAAATTTCCATAACAGAACCCACTTTTCGACCGATCGTTCTTATGACAGCTATATGATAGATATAGTGATCCGATCCGGCCGGTTCCGACCAAAGTTTCAAGACGTTAGCTTTAAAACTGAGAAAGGAGTACGCATGGAAACAGAAACAGATCAGATGGACATCAACTCGTCTGTTGTGATCAAATTATAAACCCTCTGCAAGGGTATAACTACCAAGGCACCAAAATCTAGCTCTACAGTGAGCTTCAAGAGCTGAACGATAAAGATAATATAACAAAGTTTACGAATTGTAGCTGTTTCTCGTGAAAATATCATCTCTATATACAAAACGGTTTGCCCTGACTGACAGACTGATTGACTGATTGACTGACTGACTGACTGATTGACTTATTGTCAGACACAACCCATGCCGTAAGAACTAGGAAGCTGAAATTTTCACTGTAGTTACCTTGTGTAATGAAAGTGCACGTTAAGACGGGGATTCGGGAAATTTCACCCGAAAAATCGGGAAAAACGTTTGTATGAAATTCTCAAACTCATTTTCAAAGATTTTATGCGGGCACAGGTCGAAATTTTCCACTCCCAAACCTCGGTCAAAACTCAACCGAATCTCTATTTGTTCATGGTTTGGCCCCTTATAAAAAAAGCATCTAAATCTGGCAACATTATTCCTAGTCGAAATCCATTGGAAAATGGTACACTCAAATATCCTGTATAGACAAAACTCATCCGAATTTCACGAGGTTTGGGCCTTTGTTCATTGCTTGGCCTCTAGATAAATTTGTCATATAAATATAGCAACATTATTCTTTGTCCGATTTGCTTCAAACTTATTTTCAAAGCTCTACAGGAGAATTTAATGAATACGTGTTTCAGTCTTTTGGGAAATTCCACCCGCAACAGTGGTAAATTGGCGGAAAACAGTTGTGTGCAAGTTTTTTGTTAACCGTACGATCGATTTCATTCATAGTTATTTTATAGTAATCCAGCAGCTTTTCATTTTCAATCAGGATCAACTGAATTAAAAATACTTAAATCAATATATTAAATTGAAATTAAATTTGTAATTTCATTTATACTCCCATCTCAACACAAATAGCAGGGTATTTAACAAGCCGCTTATATACTTTTCATTCGCGCAGTATGCTCGACTAAAATATACCCTGCAAAGTATCCTCTAATTAACTTGATTAATTTGCAGGCTTTGATATAACGTACAAGGCTCTATCCAGCTAAAATATTTTATATTAAATTTAATTTGGATTTCCACTTTCCGCACGTGCTGTGGATCGTGCATATATAAATAGTTTCAAAAGACAGTCTGAGCCGGATAACAATCAACAAAGTTTTATATCCGGAAGCCGACTTCGCCTTAAGGCCCATTATGGTGCCTATTCTGAAAAATTCTGCTTCCTATTGATAGTCAGTAAGTTAGGATAAACAACTTTATACAAATTGCCTCCTTACAATTAGTTTTTACTACGCTTAGCTATTTTTACATAGTTAATTATTACATACATCAGCTGAACATATAAATCAAAATAGTGCAAGGTGTAGCTCTGAAAACATAATAGATTTACTTGGAAATATAAATAAATACATGTGATGCCAATGCATCATTGCGAAGCAAATGTCAGAGTCCAAAAGATTACATCAAGTAGTAGTATTCAGCTGGTCAGCAGATAATATGTATATATAGCATGGACATATTCCTAGCATTGGAATATTTGAAATTGCGTTATAAACATTTGTTTGTTATATTTGTTTCTGTAAATGTAACTAAAAACTAGAATATTTTATGAGTGCTGTCACGCTATCAAAAGGAAGATGGATGAACACAAAAGTTGCGATTATGTATTATACATAGCGCTATATAAGCTAGAAATCAAATTTGTACTAACTTAAATTAGTAGGTATACCATATTACATTTGGGCTGAGCGGGCACATAAACTAAATCACCTAGTTACTTAGCATTAAGTCACGCTTGAGAGAAATGAGGAAAGCTTCAGGTGCCCTCAAACTGCAAATTGTACCATTGTTTAGCCCTTCTTGAAATCAAGTATGTCGGCTAATGCTGCCGCCTTGCCGGTATCGTCTTTCTCCAACTCGGCACGCGTGCAGCGGCCACAACAGTCTGCCGAGGGCCGGTTCTCGCATTCACCCAGCGCTGGTGGCTTAAAGTTAGGCGTCCAGGGGCCCAGGCTGCCGCTGGCATAGAAGTCCATGGGATAAGCATTGCTGCGTGGCGAGGCATTATCTGGCGTCCACTCAATGTCGCCCAGTACCACGGATAGCTCATAGGGATTCAGCAGTGGCTGCTCAAAGGCTGAGCCCCAATCAATGGACAGACGTGGACAGGCAATCTGCACGAAGGCATCAATGTCAGCAAACAGTGCCAGCTTCTGTGGAAAGATCTCAGACAGTAGTATGGTGGTGGTCGCAATGCCCTTGGCATGTAGACGCTTCTCCAGAAATCGGTGCACACGAGCGCTGCCCTGTCGACCAAGTGTGCCTAGTATGATGCCAATGCGTTGCGCCTGCTTAGCGCGCTGCACGGCCGCATGTCGCAAGCCTTGCATGGCTTTGTGATCATAATGCTCCACGGTGAACTTCTTCTCGTACGGATCGTACTTGTAGGCCTTGTAGGCAAAGGGATAGAGTTAATAAAGTTAACAATGCAAGACAGCTAGGTTGTGCCTACCTTCAGCAGCGGGTTGGCAATCATGGCGGATTCCAGGTGGAAACGACCGTCACCCAGGTAGATTATCAATTGCGTTGTCTCCGGCAGCTGGGGCGAAGTGCAGCCCAATATCTCACCCGGACTCAGCGGCTTGGCCTGTGGCACGAGCACATCATAGCCGGCAGATTTCAGCTCAGTTGCAGCTGATTGCAGCGTGGTTACAAACTGTATTGTGCTGACCAGCGCTATTTGGCCGTCCTCGGGCTTAAAGTTCAGCTTGACTGAGTCGAGAAAGTGCAGCGGATCGATTTTGATGTCCACAAAGATGTAAAGAACTTTAATGCCGCAGGTCTGATCGACGGGTATTAAACAGCTGTGGCCATAGTGCACCAGCAGATCTGCGCCCAAGGCCTGCGCCGTGTAGTCATCAACGCAACATGCGCCATAAGTCACATCGCCCATGATGACAGTGTCCGCGCTGGTGAAACGCTCTATAATATCGCTAATTACCATTGCGTACATCAGCAGGCCCTCTGGCAGCTGCAAGGCCACACGCTTCGACTTCGTTTCCCGTACACGCCAAATGGTCTTGTGCAGCTCAAAGTTGTAGTTCGAGGGCAGTCTAGAAATGGCCCGCTGCAGCTGCGGATCATCGAGCAGCTCCTGTGGAATGCGATTGATGCGCGCCTTTGGCTTGAACACCTTCTTTGGCTTGGCTCGAATGACGACCACATCGCTGCTGCTGCTGCTGCTCAGCTGCTCGCCGGGTTGGACAATGTCCAACATGTTGTCCACTGAATGGAGCTGTAAGAGTAATACACTGGCGTTAATAGAGAAATTCGATACGATAAACAAATGAACAAATGCTATACTACACAACAAATATGACAACAAACTTGACCTTGTCAATTATTTCCATATGCAATAAATATGTATGTATGTATATGTACTATATAGGCAGATGAGCTGCGCAAATTAGTTGTCTGCCTCAAAAAAAATCGCAGGTCTACGTGACTGTAGACATGAAAATTCAGATGTAAACATTACGTTTTCACTGCAGCTAAAAAATGTTCATATTTCTTCTTCAGCTTTACATTTGGAGTTGTTTCAAACAAAGAAACAACTAAACTTAAGATGACTCAGATCTCCGGACCTCACCTTCACTTTAGAACTAATTATTTTAGTTGCAACTGTTGAATGGCAAACGCGCCAAGGTTTTCTGTACGATTTCCTAGACGTTCACTATTGTTTTTGTTATTGTTGTTGTTGTTGTAGTTTGTTTTTATTATTATTTAGCTGCTGATTATTTAATAGGCACACGTGTGCACACTTGTACACTGCTCGAAATAATATTTGCAAATAATGACTGTCTCCGAAAAGAGTTCAAAATTAAATGCTGCTTGGCTCAGGGGTTGCTGTTGCACGAAAATTGGTCAGTGAACTTCTGAAGCAGCTGTTGTTGCGCCATTGATAACTGTTTCTGAGTCACGTAGGCCACACAGCGCAACGTGCAACAAGAAAGTTGCTTATATATTACGCGCGCACTTTGAACGGATTGCTCAATTAAACAATTGAACTTACTTAATATCTAACCTAATAATTAAATTAAATAATAAATAAGTAATGCACAAAGTTATCTTACACTCAATATACGTTTTTAAAGAAAATAAATATCTTAATTCTCGTTGGTCTTATCGATGACTGAAGTGTTTGTAGCTTACTCGAGCTAAGTATGCTGTTCACTGCCTATTGACCGACCACCACAAGTTATCGACTGCTTGCAGTGCTGGGCAACGCTTAAATTTAACTGTAAATATAAATTATTATTGAGGGTCATCAACCAGTTGTATTCTTTATTAACTATTAACTCAACAAGTAGTTATTAACAATTTCAAATTTAAGCTTTCGAGCTTTCCGCCTCTGAGACATCAACCTCCTCCACATCCTCTGTAAGAATATTTAAATATTAAATATCATTAAGATAATAACCAAAGCAAAACCGTTCACCTACGCTTGCCTCCGCCTCCGGGCAGTCGGCGCAGACGCTCCTGCTCCACAGCGGCAAAGTATTCACTGGCTGCTTGTTCGCAGGCGCTGGCAAATGGCGCCATATTAATCTTGCCATTCAGCATAGTTAGATCGGCTTGTTCCTGGCCATGATTGGCCTTTATTTTCAGTTTGCTCTCCCTTGACTTGGCCTCCAAGATTTTCTCGCGTCGATTTTCGCGCTCAAACATCTATAAAACGAAATTATTAATAATTTTTATACATGAATATATTAGCTACTACGCGCAGCTTACCGCAGTTAGCAGCGGCTTATCATTCTTGGCCGACATGACCATATTGTCGGAAACCTCTATTAGAAATGTTGCACCCAATTTACTGCCACAGCTGACGAATTTTCCGTTCTCGTTGGTCCGCACGCAGTAGAGCGGCTCATCACAGACCTTTACCGTTAGGACCGGCTCATTCTGCTGCTGCAGCAGATCCCATGTGTCCAGCACACCATCCATGCGAGTAATAAAGAACTGGGAGACCCTACGATGAAGATATAAAAAATGTTATGGAGCACAGTTTCGATATACATTTAAATCCTCCCACTTGGTGTAACTCCAGGCGCCGTCTGTCAACATGGAGGAGCTGCTCTTGGTCCAAATAATTGAGCTCTCACGACAGTCCTCAGACCAGATGCGCGCACACCAATCGCCCACGGTAAGGAAGTTCTTTACAAAAGCTGGATTGCGTGTGATGGCATAAACAGGTCCCAAGTGGCACATCATCTGTAAACGGACCGAGGATCAAGACTAGAACAGGAGCAGGAGTACACAACGAGATCTACCCGGATTTGTATCTTTTCCGTGGGCGTTTTGCCCTTGCGGTTGCATGAGAAGAGCATGCCCATCTCGGTGCCAGCCATGAATCTAGTCGGTATTGTGGTCTCATACTCCAGTACTGAGATGCCGTAGGAGCGCGATAAATCCTGCTCATCACCTTTAACGGGATCCATAAGCAGTCGATCCAGAGGTTCGCTGAGTTTGCGTGTATCCCACCAGAGCACCTGCCCATCGGAGCCGCCTGAAAAGAACTCGGTGCCGCTCTTGGAGTTGTTCCAGAGCACCGAATTGACTGGATCGCGATGGCACACTTCGCGTTCGCTAATCATTACCGGATGCTTGCCGTGTCGCGTATCCCAGGCGGCCACTTGGCCGTTGTACATGCCGCTGACCAGGCTGGTTGGATCCTTTTGATTGTACTCAAGACACACACAAGGCACTTTCGGCTCCAGCGTTAGAAACGGTTCGTTTGGGTTCTCCACCTCCCAAATGTACGAATTGCAGCGCTGTCCGGTCTTGTCGCCCTGAAACTTCATATCACAATGGCTGACTGCCATTTTAATGCCACCGTCCGGCGACCAGGACAGGTGCTTAACGGGCACCTTTATCGGATTGGGATCACGATAGACGTTTACGGTGCGCGATTTGCAAGCTTCTGGCAGCGGTGCCGGCTCCATATTCTCAAAGTAATTCTCATAGATGTTGACAGCGTTATTCTGGTGTATATAGTGCTCCATGGGCTTTGTGAGATTCATCACTTGCGTTATGTAATTGTCATCCTTTTCGATTTTGCGCTTGTAGCGCACCGTCTGCTCCGGGTCATGCATATTGATGTCCTTCGGCCAGCCGCCCTCATTGTGCGTGATTCCCGTGCTCTTATATGTAGCCCGCTCCGTGTTGGCAACGCTCAGCGATGTCTGCCCAGCATATTGTGTGGAACGGTCCACGGGATTCTTAAGTATATAGCTCTTGACCAGTTCGGGATTGGAGTTCTCGCTGAATACCACCTCATCCTTGTCCTCGAAATGCACCCGTGATCCAAATGTGCGACGCTCCTTCTTAAAAATATACTCCATTCCGAGCAACTAACAGGAACCTTATCTTTCAATTCGATTCGTTTTAGACAGACAAACTGTTATACCATGCACAAAGCAAAAGGTTTCCTTGGGCTCCACGGTAACCCACGTTTTATCAATAAATACGGATATTTTTTATTAGGGGCATAACGAGCTGCTAATACCCTTTTCGACTTGAGTGTATAATGCTAGACAAGACGTTTAATTAAATTTTGCATAAAAATCAATTCTATACACAGGAGAACTTGAGTCGAGCTGAAAATTAGCTTGGATGAAGTAAGCATTAACTTGTTGTGTAAATTTCATTTTATTGCAAAAATATCACGTATATTTCGAATATACTTATAATATTTGACTATATAATTATCTAGAATTAACTATGTACAATTGAATTATATAAATTTGACTATGTAGGATGAAAGGGCTGTAAATTAAACTATTAGGGATTGAGGGGCTATATACAATTTGTTTAAAATTTAGCTACAATTAACTAATTTTGCCTAAAATTGCTGACACAACAAGCGGTTGCTTTGGCAGGATCCATGGATTGCAGTCTCGTAATTCCCTTCTGCGCCTTGTGGCATCGATGCCCATCGCCAACTTGTCAGAGTTCCAGTTTTGCGACATTCCCCTAGATGATGATTTGGCCTTTCTACTTCTCGTGGCAACAGGAACCGTTGAATCGCCAACCAGCACGATGTTGGTCGCCAGAGTGTATCGCTTGTAGTGCAGGTCGATCCTAAGTCAGACTGCTCTTTTATAGGTCCGCAGGTAGAGCAGGCACATGCATAAATTCAATATGGTCGACCCTTGGCGAAGTAATCCTAATGACTTTGACCCTGTGGAAATTTTCCAGCCCGCTATTACAGCCGAATGTCCGCGATAGCAGCAAAAATGACTAACAATAGATTTGCCTGCTCGTTTAGGTTGAGTTATGACAGCGGAAACTCGGAGAGTTGGTTAAGTATATGTACATATGTTTAATCGTGAAGTTTTTCTGGGAAACTACATTGAGGTACCTAAAAATGGTTTGGATAAAATTCTCTAAAATTCATTTGAAATGACCTTCGGCCCGTATACCCATTTCTGTGCTTGGTTTTTACCGGAGCGCATAATAGAAATTTGATGCTTAAAAATATGTTTATAAAAACATTTATTTGTACGTAAAAATAGAATTATTTTCTATATGATTGCTTTATTCAGTCGACTCGTTAATTTTTCTTAGTTTTCTAATAGTATCAATATTTGCTGTATAGAGCATAACTGTCTTCTTAATTGGAGCTCTGTGTCTTGATTTTGTGGCCTGTAAATATAAACATAACATTATTGTACAAATAGTATATTTGTTTTAATTATAATAATTACTTTATTGTTGGATAAGTTCAGGTTTTCTAAGGACTCGACATGCGTAAGTCGACTGCTCCGAACTGTTGCCCTTAGATTTTGAATTTCGTCGATCAGTTTTTTACGTTCATCTTTGAGAAAGAAGACCTGCCGTTTGAGGCTGCTCCTGTTAATATAAAGATAAGCTTTGTAAATGTGTTAATGGATAATACTTTTAATAGCATACACTTCGATTTCCAAATGCCTGGCATAGCTGTCACTCTCCGAATCGATAATTTCCACATGCTCCTCAGCATTGCTTTGAGGATTGAGCGGGTCAATTATTTCTAGTTCCATTCGCCCAACGCGAGGCGCCTCCTCAGTTAGCTGCGCATCTGCATACTCTTCCGTGTCGTTTATGTACTCTATCATCTCATAGTTTTGGCATAGGTTGCTGCTGCTTTCAGCTACGTCTTCAAGTTCTTCGAACTTAACTAAGTTCCCAACTTTTGTATTTGGTACAACCTGCTTTGGATTGGAGATTGGAGCCTCTTCCGCCACTTTGAAGAAACGATGCGGGCTTGAAGTCGGCGCATCCTTTCGATTGTTGCTGCGTTTATTCTTAGCATCGTTTTGTAACAGTTTATCCTGTGGTCCCTGGATGCTAGGATAGGAGCCGGGCTTTAATTTAGTTGGATTTTTGCGCGTGAAGCCTGCAAGTAGCTTGAAAGTTAAAAAATTGTGTCTGCAATGAAGAGCTGGTATTTAACTTACCCAGTTCATATTGCATATTCCGCTCAAAGTCTTCCGGCGTAAAGTGTTCATTGCAAATGCAGGCTTACAAACGGTTTGTGATTATAGTACAAAGTAGTTAATAAATAAATCAACTTACCTGTTGTTGGGTTTGTTATGTCCCGCTCGCAAAATTGAATCCATTTTTTGAGCTGTTCTTTATGTTTGGGGAAATGAAAGTAGCGCCAATTCTTTTTATTGCCATTTCGATTGTTGTTGCCACAATACCTTACAGCACAACGCATAATTAATTGTGATTAAAATTTGTTAATATGCATTTTCGCACTAATAAACAAACATTTGTTACAGCTTAAACAGCTGATTGGCGCAGGGCTGGGTAAAGCTTGAAATCGATAGCATAATTTTGATAACATTTACAACACTATTATAAACAGCTATTTGTAGCATTCTTTTGTTTGGCTGTCAATTCTCCTGTGCTTAATTTCGCAATGTTGAAAAGCAGCAACTTAAATAGGTAATTAAAAGGTGGTTTTGTATAGAAATGATATTTTTTTTTTTTGTTATCATGTAGTGTCATTGATCAACTCGATGCTGATCGCACGGTCACCGGCGCTGCCGCATCTTTGCCAGAGAACAACAACAAGCTAGTGAAAACAGACCACAACGAGTGCTCCATGGCAGCCTTACAAATGTCCTTCGGAGTACTCGAAATAGCCGAGCCGCCCTTAGTACGTATCCGCGCGCAGCTCAAGGAATTAATGTGAGTTTTGATTGAATATTTTATATGTGGATGATAACTTACACTAAATCTGTCTGTAGCGGCAAGCAAAACAAGTTCTATATTGACGTCTCCAAGGAGAAATATAAGCTGGACTGCAGTGAGGTAGCAAAATTAATTGATATGGTAAGCATTCAGATGGGGACAATTTTGGGAAGATTTTAATAATAATGTTAGGGGAATCTCACAAATGATAGGAGGACGGCATTGAGATCGCCCCATGTGCCTGGGGTCCCTAAATGAGCAACAGTTGCTCGACCTCCTTTATGAATAAGCCATGACATGAGCTGGCACACATACTCCTTGCCCAGATGGTTTGTCCTATACCGAGTAATGACTCGACATTCATGGAGAATAGGAAGCACGTTAGCTAGCATCAGCAAAGCTATACTCTATCTTGGGGGATAGTTTCATTAGTCTTTTATAAATTTCGGAGTTATCCTTTGTGAAAAAAAAAACACGGATTGGCGTGAAGATATTTTATGATGGTTCTACTAGGACCCTTTTCGAGAATCAATCTAGAACAAACCTCAATGTCATTAATCCTAGATTAAAAGACGCTGGACCAGATACTCATTGCAATATAAATTTAAAAATAAAGTCCAAAGATCCCCGCATCTTTGCCATAAGGTCTTAAATTTGCTGAGCCGCCCTCGCTGGCACATAATATCAGTAATAAGCGTTGTCTTGGTATTTAAATTAGGGCGTATAAAATATTATCGCAGACATCTAAATGAATTTGTTGATATTGTTAGCCAGTCTAAGTGCATGTTAATACTCATATGATTAATAATGGAACACGTTTGGTTTACCGAACAATCTACACATTTAGATGAATGATGTGAAGCGCTACAAAGAGAGACTGGTGAAAATAAAAAAGGATATGCAGTCCATTTACCAACGGTCTAAGGTTCTAAAGGTGAGCGAAACAATGTAAAAACCCAAAAGAACGTGACTTTATTGTTGCATAAAACCATAAAAATAATAATCAACAGTTTACAAAGTAGAGCACACATGCAAAAGTTTAATCATAACTAAGTATATGTCGTATCTTTCTGATTACTGATTACAGAAACGAGCCGCCAACGTGGCCACTTGTAAGCAGCGCGATTACCAGCGCAAACTCGAGAAGCAACAGCAGGAGGAGTCGCTCATAGGCGGCCAGTTGCAGTAGTTATATAGGTCTTAGCCATACGCCATACCATCATAAGTAATTACAAAGTTGCCGTACCCAAACATGGGTATTGCAATCTCTAACAAGAATCTAAACTAGAACTAAATAAACATATAACATTAAAAATGTTTATCTATGGATTAAAGCCCATAATTAACTAATATAAACAAGTTGCTTACTATTTCTATATGTTCTGTATATAATTTGGTAAATACTTTCGAGATTTCACAGTATATTATATTTGAAATGAAGCTACATGCAAGAGAATCCAATTTTGATATGCCAATTTTTCTTTTTAAGTATCTAATCGTGTAAAAACTATAACATTTAAACATTCACAGCGCAAAATCGGCGACAATTACAAACTTTGACTTTTTCAAGATATTTATAAACATGCTAATAAAGTTTTATGCAATGGCATATCGTGATTAGTTGACAGCGTTCGCTTTAATAACCAAATGGAAATGATGGAGATATTTATGACGTATAGAACAACGACAGTTAATTTAATTTAAATATGCGTCAAAGAGATTTCACGATATGCAGCGCATAAACTAAGCTAATGTTTGCTAAAAGCATGCACAAATACGTGTTTGTTTGTGTGTGGTAACTAAATTAAAGTACAATTAGATATAATTATTATAAATACAATTGAGATTGAATATTGAACATTCAACATGCAATTGGATGAAGCAATTGTTTAAATTGCCATTCAACTGAGCAGCAGCAATAATGTGGTTGTTGTTGTTGTTGTTTTGGTTTTGGTTTTCTTGGTTGATTGTGTGTTGATTCTCACTGATCAGGATACGAATACTTCAGATCACAGAGGAGCAGCTTAGCTAATACTATTTGTGTATTCCTGTTCATTCAGCATGTGCATTGCATCTGTCGGTGCAAAATATTTGACAGTGCCTAAAAGTATTTGAAACATTCATTAGTTGTTGCAGTTGTTGAAAAATTTGTGTTTTATTTTCTAAATGCAATTATAGTTATAAAACAAACAAAAAACTGAATACCTTTACTTGAATGATAATAAATTACGCATATATAATTGTGGTTTCATAAATGCATTTCAAATGTGTACACAAAAAAGTATGAAACTTTTATTGTCAATTTTATTTTGTATGTTCCAATTTGATTGTTGATTTAATTATTATAAAAATGAATTTCAACCAAAGTATTTAGAAATTTGCATTCTGTTTAAGATTTTGAATATGCGTTTGAAACTTTGATGAGCAAGGGCTGTGATTGAGTAGAATTCAACAAATGTACTTTAAATATATGAAAAAAATATATATATTAAAACTCAAGATGCTTTTCCTTTATACAATCTACCAGCAAGCCGTATGCATACGGGAAATTCGTTTAATACCATTATTAGAGAAGCTTTATCCGATATCTTTCGCATTTATTGTGAATCTAAAGAATATTTTGTGTATATACATATGTATTTGTATCGTATACCAAATGAAAAGATTTGAGGCAAAAAATGTCCTTTCAAAAATTTTCAGACTTTCTTACAGCTATAAAATAAAACTTTTGTCTGACATAAACGTAAACAGAAAAAAATATAAAAACTGGATTAATATCAAGTATTTTCTAACTAAATAACTGCAAACCTTTCAGTTATTGTCTTAGATAGAAACTTTTGTGGCATAGCTGATAATATATTAATGACAACTCTTGTCATATCATTACGGTACATATAAAATAAATTCATATTTTTCATCAAACGAGGTATTTTCCGTCTTGTAAGTAACTAATTGCCGTGAATTATTTCAAATTCTTTGGGTATTGGGTAATTGACCTTCTATTGTACTATGGAAGCTGACAAGAAAATATGTAACCTTAGGTCAAATCGACATCGGTAAACTCATCATTGTTTTTAGTACTAGGCTGGCAGTCGGGAGTGGCGGAAGCGGAAGCGGAGGCTGTGGAGGACCTACCCTTACCGTTCTCATCCGGCCCTTTGCGTTTCAGATACATTTGGACCAAGACATGGATAATAAACACTATGAAGGCGCCAATGCTAAAGATCTCAAAGGTGGTGCGTCCGCTGACTGCAGAAAAGAGCTGGCCGCCAATTTGGCTGCCTATGGAGACGCCGACACCCTCGAAGATGGCGCCCACAAGACTCTGGAAATGGTTGAGATATTTACAGTTCTCTTAAAGGGATCAGAGAATCGCTCACCTGCATGGTGGCCTCGGTGCCAGGCGGTGCAACGATGCTGGCATAGGAGGCCATTGTCGCATAGAAGAGTCCAAAGGTGAGGCCATTGAGCAGCTCAATGGGCAGTATATACCAGGGATTCTGCAGCATAGAGTACAAAAGGAAGCGTACACCAAAGCCAAAGAGCACCAGGCTCATGGCATTTACATGCCCAATGCGCTTCAGGATCCAACCGGACATAAAGAAGAAGGGCAGCTCGCCACCAAAGCACTGGATGCTCATAACCAGTCCCTCCAGCGTATTAATGAAGTCGGTGCCATGCTCCTTGGCCAGGTCCCCCAGATAGATCAACAGAAAGTTCCAAATCAGTGCTGTGCACAGACCGATGGCCACGCACCACAGAAAGAAGACGACGCAGCGCACCGATAGAAACATTTGGCCCACATCCTTAAGTATGTTGGCCGACATGTGAGTCTGTGTGTGCTGCAAGAGAAAACGGATTCAACAGTTATTGGAACGAACTTGAAATGATGGAGCTCACCTTCAGCTTGGTGGAGGCCAGCATATCAAAGCCCATTATAATCAGCGTCATCCAGAAGATAATCGTGTAGTTCCTCTCCGAGCTGCCCTCCTGCGACATTGCATCCACCAGCAGGCCGGCGAGCAGGGCGAAGATACCCCAGCCCAGCGATCCGAACAAGCGTTGCTTGCCATACAGATGATGCCGATCGCCGAGTATGCCAAAGCATATGGCATCGCCGATGCTCACCACCACGGCCATGCCGATCCAGCTGATGATCAGCATGCCAAAGAAGAACCAGAACTCTGGCATGGCCATGGCGCTGCTCGTATTGATCATTGTGCTCTCGGGCAGCAGTTCCTTGAGATATCGCTCGTTGCAGTCCATTTGGCAGCTGGGCTGGAACATGACCTTATCCTTGGGGCAATAGAGTGTCACATTCTGCGACTCCAGTATGCCCTGATCGTGCGGTATTAGAAAATTGAGGCACTTGCCGCCGTCCAGCGACTCTTCCTCGATAATATCCCTGGCGCTGATGTAGGTGGTAAAGTTGATCAAGGCCTTTGAGCGGTTTGCCTCGCAGTTGCTCGCCTGGTTCCGAGAACCATTGACTGGACGCCAATACTGACACACAATATCCCACATAGCCGGCGCCATTTGGCAGTTCATGTTGCAGCTCAAGGTCCGATTGCCGTAGTATGTCTCCAGATTCTGTTTTGCATCCTTCGGATAGTTGGAACAGTAGCGTATGTTCGACACCCCAGCGTGACAATGGAATTGTGGCTTTTCGGCGGCCGGCACAAACAAGATCATGAAAAAGGCCACGGCGGTGAGTAGTTGGCCACCAAGGAAGAGGAAGCGATGGCGATGATAGCTATTGGCAGAGAACAAAAATGGGTGTTTTTATCCAATCGAGACCAGAGCGACACTTGCTCTTTCCAGTTTCCATTTCGCTCGTTCAGACTTACTCTCACTCACGCTGTCCCCCTCCCAGTCTCAGCCCCTCATTATTAGTTTTTTTTTCATTCCCCCTGCCCTTCCGTTCTAACTCTTGTGTTATCGTTATTTGAACTCATGAGAATCGCAAAGAGAGGTGATATTTTTTTTTTCGATTGGCTACTTACCGATCAGCTATGTAACCAAAGAGCGGCTTCGCCAGCAAACCAACAATAGGAAGTATCGTGTACATGGTGCCCACCACGACCGGCGAGTAGCCCAGCTGTATCGCCAGCGGGGACATAAGGGGTACAACGGGTGCGGTGCCTGCAATAGTACATCAAATATGTAGATTAGTGCACTGTGTTTGCAAAGGTCGTAAGCTAGTCTATATATGTATGTATATCAAATACCCAATTATTGTGTATTCGTTTTCTAGGGTAACAGAGACAACCCGGCAATGATTAGCGAGAATTGTCCAAATGTGGGTGTTTATGACTGATAAGCAAAGTATAAGTGTACAACAACAACCAAAGCGAGGGGCATCATATATCATCACGTACTATTATATATGTATGTGTGTGTATGTATTTTGTGCATTCAGTTCCCAAGCTGAAGCTGTACTATAACACTTTTAATTATTTTAAAAGTAAAAATTCTACTTTAATTGCTAATAGCAGCTTGAGGGGCGGTCATAAAGAGCAGGGCACCGTTGGGACTGGCGGCTTAGTTAGTTGACATGCCAACTTTGGACCTAGCCCAGGTATCTCTCAGAATGTGAGTTCAAATTCAAAGCAAACACATATCAAATAAATTCAGACGCAGTTAAGTTTAAGACTGCATTGAAGGCTATACATTGAGTTAAGCGCGTGTTTGTGACACGCAGTTTCGTGCGTGTTCGTGTTCGTGTCGAGCACGATAACACGACCGAATACAATAATTTGGGGAACATAGAATACGCTAAAAGTGTGATGTAAATATTAAATCTTAAGGGGATTAAAAAGAAATATGTATATGTTTCCCAATGGAAACAGCCTATCTGAATATTTCAAAATAAAAATGTGCAATGGATCAAAAAGTTAAAACAATTAAAAATTATATCCTATTACAAAAGGTCGAGCGTGGTAATACTTTTTACCGTGACTGTTGTGTGTTTCATTGCTGAAAACTGACTCGTGACCATCTCAAAATGCTGACTTATTAATATTATTATATTATGTAAGTTAATGCTTAGCAGTACACAAACTCTCATCGCTCCCCAAGTTCCACTTTACACAATAAACTTACTTAAATTAGCTAACATATTTTGTGAGAAACAATTACTGTACACATACTTTTGCCGAATAGTGTACTTAAGCTTCTGGTATCGAATTGAATAAATTCAATGGACAATTGCTATTTACCAATCATGCTTATCGGACAAACTTGTTTTTTATTGACTATCTAGTTGATTGCCAGAATAGATGCCTTATCAAGTTTTTTTTCTGTGCACACCTTGCACTCCGGCTCAAGTAGACAAAATAATGTACTTTTTAAAAACGAAAAGTATTTATCGTAGATCTGGTGTTATCAGATGGTGTAAACAATTAAAGACGCTTAGTAAAATGATATTAGCCGCTTAAACGGAACTTTACCGGCATTATAGAGAAAGTAATGCGCCTTCATGGGCAGCAAATCCTTATTTATGGTGGCCTTCATTTTTGTGGCTCTGCTTTGTTACTCCAGTTCGAGGCTATTAGCAATACATCAATTCTAATTGGATCGTTTTTATTTGGGAAATTTCCCAATTGGCGACGCTTGCGGCCAAGTGCAATATACTCGTCGATTGATTAATTTAACACACTTTAATAAATTGTTGATTACATACAAAAATCTAGATAGATTGTTGATTATATTAATGGAATTAGCTAAGGCAAGCATAAATCAAACAATTTTCATATGTTGACTTTTTTGTACACTTGTGATCGTTTTTCTTGTGTGAGTGTGTGCGCGTCGCGATCACGTTTCTTGCATTCCAAATAAATTCGCCGATGTCAACATTACACTTTTGTCCGTAAATGTAGCATATTTCATGCTACGCTAAATATTTATGTATGCAATTCTTTTGAAACACGACATTCGATCCGTGTCTGGCAGGAATCTTATTAGAATAACAACTAGCGACGACGATGTGATTGCACGGTGTGTATTGGTTATATACGGGCATATCTTAATTACTGTTTGCACTGGCCGCTTATCTAGCGCACACAAGTTGACGTATCTTTTAAATAGACGCCCACAACAGCAACGGCGACCATGCTTCGAGCACGAATGTACAAAACATAAAAACAAAAATGCGGAGAACAGCTGTTTTAGCAAAAGCGGTAATTTGACATGAACCTTCACGTAACATGCATTAAATTTGCACACGCAGCCAACTTCATGTTATTCATATGTCCACTAACAGTACCATGTTGATGTTAGCAGCGGGAACAGCTGATCGGCGCCTATTGACTTCAGATACTTCTGCGCGCTTTTTCAGGGACAGCGATTTTGGCGCCAACGTGGTAAGTGTTTGGCCTGAACAAGAATTGGATTTCGAATAAGAATGTTTATGTACCTATGCTGTTGCCAAACGTCATGTGCTGGCCATCGCTCAAACGATAGCTGACAATTTAATATATGCATCTTAAGCTAGAAATGAGACTATTAACTTAATGCCTAATTGGGAGGAGAATCAGTCGTATATATGGCTATAATGCTGCTGATAGACGTGTATATAGTTCTCCTTCTCCTGGGGTGTCATTTGTGCAATCAGCTTGTCGTCCAGCTGATCCAAAGGATGTGGACGCCCTGCCACCAGCACAGTCGGCACGTCGGCATCCTCCTCATCTGACTCCGAGTTGATGTAGTTCTCGAAATTGACATTTGCTAAAATTGACCACAAACAAATTAAACAACGGAATTGTATAAAAGCAAAGGGCACTCACGTATCTTTGTGTTGTCAATGTCGTTCTCATCGTCGCTGGAATCACTAGAGTTTGCATTCGAGGAGCCCTTGCGCAGACCCTTCAAGTGAGCTTCCCGCTGGCCCGGCTGCTTCTCGTGCTGTAACAGCACCGACATAATATCCTCGTTTTCTTTCTTATTGCGATGCCCAGATGTGCCTGACGACTGGGCGGTGTCAGTGAGGGCGCTGCCATCGCCAGTCTCCGTATCGGTTATCACAGTGCTCTCCGTCATCCAAATGGGTCGCGACTTGCGCTCAACGACCGCCTCGGTGCTGTCATCGCCGCCAATGGTCACATCTACGCGCGTCTCTTCCACGGCAAAGCCTTGGTTACGCGTCGCTTCGCCCGACCATTGCAGGCTGTCCGGCCGCAGAGCGTTCGGCTTGGTAATGCCACGTATCGTGTCAATGTCTACCGGCTCTGGTTCGAGCACCTCTGGCGCCAGCTTGATGCCTTCTACTTCCCGCAGGAGATCGTACAGCGGCTGCAGCTGCTCATTGAAGTGCGCCAACATTAGGCGCGAATCCTTCTTTGGCATTGCCGCACTGTCTTCCTCGACTGAGCTGCCGCAATACGTGCAGCGGAACTCGCACGTCGCCATATCGAAGAGCTGGTCCGCCTCGAGATCTGTGAATGTTTTGGAGCACGTGGAGCACTTGAAGCTGGCGCGACTTGTCGCATCCCTCTCCTCCGTCTCCATGCGTTTGCGCATCAAGTCCAGCTTGTACTTGACCACGTTAACAAATGTCTTGTAATTAATGAAGTAGTAGTTGACCTTCTGCGCCTTTCCATCTGGACCCGTTTCCATTTTCAGCCGTATTTGTATGAACTTGTCGGTGCGCAGCGTCGTGATCCGCGCTCGCAATTGCTTCTTCTCGAAGCGCAGCAGTTCGCCAATGTCGTCCTCTTTCATGCACGGATTCCGCACCAGCATGTCTATGATCAGCGCGTCTTCCTGTGAGTAGAAGCCGCGCACAACCAGCCGGGCCAATTGCTTTAGACTGCTGGGCACCTCCGTTACGTAGCGTACTTCGGTTTTTGCTGGCGCTGCATTTGATGCAGCCGCCGACGTTGAGGACATTTTTTACTAAACAGCAATACGGCAATACGTGCAATGGTATTATTGTGTCTTCTTCTTAATACTCTGCATTTGCATTTCATTGACCGCGAGTTGTTGCTGCTAACTGCGCAGTTGTTATGTTAAATTACAGAAAATAACGCTGCTATCAAATTGTCACCTATCGATGTCAACTTATGAACAACCTATCGAAAACAGTGTAGTGTAACGAGCAATTAAAGCGCGAAATTTTTGTTTGACTGTGAAAATTGTGCGAAGAATTTTATTTAAATTAACATTATCGACTTGACTTTCAAGTATTTACATCCTTTTGGCCATTTTAAGGCATATAATTTGCGTCTATAAACAGCGCTACAAAACTAACTAAAAGTCGTTTAGTGCTCTACAAAATTTTAAAACTGTCATTAGCAGAGGTTGGAGTTCAACCGCAAGTCTCGTGTTTGTATGGCTGAGCGCCGCTAAGACGAATTACGACAGACTGCACAGGAGTGCACAGTACAGTTTGCATAAATATTAAACAAGCGTACAGAACACAGCAGCTAATATTAAGTATAACGGTTGATCAAAAAAGCAACGCAAAAACGACTTGTTAGAATATTAAATGGAAACTCATATACAGTTATATACTGTAGAAGCATACACAAAGAACTTCAAGGTAATTCAATGTTCAATGTTAATATATATACTTCATTTTAGCAAAACGAATTATTTATAAAATTTTAAATATGTAATTAAGTAATGCCGATTATGTTTAGCAACCTCATTGATTGCTCTCTTGATTTCTCTCGCACAATCACTTGTGGGGGTGTATTTCCCACTGCAGCAATTGCAGTGCGCATCCTCTCTCGAAGCACCCAACAATAATAGAGTCAGATACAGTGGCGTGGCCTGTGGGTATATTAAAAATAGAGACGTTTCTTTTGTTGCAACAGCCCCCACTCACACAAGTTTACTACGCTCATGTAAAAAGCTCATACTTGAGCAGGAGTCAAAAGCGCACTCTGAGCAGTGCGCAGTCTCCTTATTATTATCTCTCGCTCTCTGTCTCTCTCTCTCTTCCGTCGTCTATTGCATACGCTCTCGTGCACTGTCGAGAGCTTTCTCACTTTCACACTGTCGCAAGTCGCAGTCGCCTGCAGTTATGAGTCGTGTGCGCTTACGCTCGGTTGACCAATTTTCCGTTAAATTATTTTTCACGGCGCTCAACACTTACACAAACACAAACACCAACAAAAGCGTGCAAATAGTTTTGTGATTGTTTTTGCGGTTTCCCCAAACGTTTTGCTGCCAACGCTTTGTGATTTTGGGCAATTTTTACATAAAAAACTTATTTGCTCTCGGTCCAAGTTTATGTTTTCCGTCTGATTGGTGTTCAGTGGTCAAAAGCACGAAAGAAGCAAAGCACACCAAAGAAAAAACAAAAAAAAAAAAACGCCAAAGAAACCATTAAAAACAAAAACACGTCGCGACGCTTGTAAAAATTGATTTTTATTCCGCGTGACAAGCGAAGAATATTCCAAAAACAAAAATATATATATCAACTTCATAAAAAAGAAATATTTTCTAATACCAAAAGGTGTGTGGATACGGTCAAATAAATGTCGTTTGCCGCAAAAAAAAAAAACTACAAAGGTTATTTTAAAGCGTTTCCAGTTGCCAAGTTTGACGTCGTTTCCACCGCTACAACATTTGGGTTGCACGTGATTTGTTTGCGTTTGCTTTGTCTGCTTTTGACTAGGCTCCATTCTGCAACATTCTGCACCATCCACCCGAACACAGTTTCAGGCCTCCATCTTTGAGTTCTAGCAGCTCTTGCAACCCCCGAGCGTTAGCCGGGCCTTTAACGCCTCCCCCTCCCCCGCCCAGTGGGTGGCTCGCTTGTTAGAGCTTGTGATGTCATGCCAGCGATATCCATCCATAATAATAAAGGACTTTAGACATCCTGGCGCTACCCAGACGTTAGACCGTTTGGGTCAATTTTCGCTTTAGGAGCGACACCTGACCGCGACTCGATTGATTGCCCCATTGATATGCGAATAAAATCGAAGAGCGCTCCACTTTCCTATATACTCTGTATATAAATATACATGGATTTGTATATACATATGTGCAATATACTGACGTCCGTGAATCGGGTCAAAGTTGCATAGCGTGACCCACTTGCGCGAACTGACGCACAGCTGCCATGTGTTGCATGAATCAGCCTATTGATAGCAGCAGGGAATCCAGTTAAATTGAATCCACATTGGACCATATGCAGCTATTTTCCATTAACAACAATCTGAGTTAACTTTATAGCACACTTATATGACATGTGTCTGGCAAAATATTGCTTTCAATATACAACCATATTTTTTTAAGCCTAGGTTTGAGTTAAGCAGCTATTATCAAATCATTAAAGAAATTATGCAGCATACTTTTTAGATTTGTCTGCTGCGAAGTGCATGCTGGGTATTTTTTGTTCATTCTAGTTCATTCCCCCCTTATATTCCGGTTAGACAGTCATTTTTTTTAAATTTAGAAAAACGTTTATTGTTATCTAGATTTTGTTTATTTATTATTTATACTTTAGTCATGGATTAACATTTTGCTTATTCGGAAAGGTAAAATCCTACCTGATATATTATAAAAATAGGTATAAAAGAATATTTACTATAAGATCTTTTGTTGAAAATGAAGGGTTTGATAAATTGCTTTATAAAAAGGTTATAAAATGGATTTACGGTTGTTTTACGCCCGTCTAACCGGGAGATTTATTTTGCTTTCAACGTTTAGATCAAAGCGCATTTGGGCATGAAAACAACAACAATAACAATAAGAGGGTGAAAATCGATATATGGAGCTGGCGCAGCACGCATACAAATTCTAGCAGAGCTAAGGCCCAGGGGGTGGAAGAGGGTGGGGTGTTTCGTGGCGAACGGGCAGGGACTGAGATGTAGAGCAGGCCCTGACACAGAACAGCGATTTAAAGCGTGCGGTAGTTACCGTTACGCGAAGTAGCATAGAAAGCAGCAAAACTCAATGAACAGAAGGCACAAAGCACGCGAAACAACAACGACGCCAAAAACAACAACAACTAAACTATTCGACTCAACTTGAACCAACTCCAAAAATAGACACAGCCAAGCGGCGGAAAAAGCTCACAAAGCGGAGGGGCGCATAAATATGAAAGTACGGGCAACGTACACCACACACACACACACACACACACACACTCACACACTCACACTTACATTCATGCATGCTCAAAGCAGCTGCTACTGTTGGGTGTTCACACTCACATTCACATTCAGCTCGCGCCTACAGAGCCGCACAGTATGCAACTTGTTTCGGGATTGTAGTAGAATGTTTTGCTTGCCCTACTGCTAGAGGCACAGCTGCTGCTGACCCAACGATATGGCCCCTATAATGCTTTTGCCTGTCACATTCTATCATTCCATCAAATAGTTAAGCTCATTTTCGCTTATAGCTCAAATTGAAGATTTTAGTCTAAATAAAAGACTATAATAAGGGTTTCTTAGAAAATATTAACAGTTTTAGCAGTCAATGTGTTTTTTATAATAAAAGAAAACAACATAGCATGACCAGATATATATTGACAGACATATGTATGTGCGTACATCTTATATAAAAAGTGCCCCACTTCAAGACTTTGGTTCAACATAATACGATTTTTTAAGCCAAGGGAGCTTCTTTTTTGACATGGTCTAAAATTGAATTTATTTTGTTAGCACAATACAAAAATGTAATTAAATATTTGGCCACATATCGCTCGACTGCGAATTTCGAGCGGAACAAATGTTGGCCTTGCCAACAAAGAACATACGTTCGATAGGTCATGATTGGGGAGACGAACTGCAGACGGCTTCAGATGAAATAGTTAACTACTAGACAAAGCACAGGCCGCGCCATTGAAGGGAACAACGCACAGTCCGTCGATGAGGAAGTCACAAACAATGCTACATCTAGGTTGTCCCCCCCGTCGCCTACACTTCGCCCCTGGCTGCGACGGCCTTTGTTTTGTGCTCGTGCCCCATTGTGTGGTTCACGGGCGGAAGGACTGCGATAAGGCAAACGCAAAGATTTAGCCGCTTGAGCCAAGTCAAGAGCGACGATGATGACGCTGCAGCGAGACGCTCACCTTCAGACCGACGTGACGTGGCCGGGCGCAGGCGGAAGCGGAAGCGAAAGCGAAACATAAAAGGGCCCGTATTTATGGCAATTAAATTGTCTTTCATGCCAAGATCCTTTGTTCTACTAATGAGCATTATGCTCCAACCTATACGCCTGCCAGCGCCTTTTAATAACCCCATTTGCCTGAGATTGAAAGCAGGTTAAGTTCTTAAATAGCCGCACACCCGCCACACACACATACACACACACACACATCCTTACTTGACACGGTTGTAAGCTTTTGCATGTGCATACGTTTTTTAGTCCTCTTATAAATTGTTCTTTAGTTAAACCAATCGTTCTTATATGTTTATATTGAGTGTGAGTAATTGTTTTGCCTTAAAGCTCCCACTTTTCTTCTTGCAATCGTAGCACCCTCCTGAGATCATTTCATGGGCGATTTGATTTGAATTGGGGCTGACAAGATTTTGATATTATTTCGTAAATATGTTATGTAAAAGTTCGTGTAAAACTACGTTATTCAATTATAAGAGAGGTAATAAGTGAAAGAGAGAGAAAGCGAAGCCAAGAAGATTTGTTCTCTTTTAAATCGCCTTCCTCTGCGATTTTCACGAATTCAATTGAGCGGCTTTCAATCGGCAGTTTCTAAAATCTAAAACAATATTTCTAAAATGAATGTCCAACATCTATTACAAAGGTTGCTATTAATTGAATGTCTTTGCATTTTTTAGTGCAAAAAATAACAGAAATATTTAATCGTTTGCTAGAAATTCTTTTGCTGTCCTTGCCTCAAATCGTGTTGCCTGTTCGTGCATTTGAAAAACGTTGTTTGTGTCGCCAGTTGTTGAACATTCTCGTTGCCACCCGTTTCTGCCATTTGGCTAATTGAATGGATTTAGCCTTGGCTAAATATTAATAAATCCACTGGTGGGGTTAGAGATGCAATTACTTTACTGAATTACTGCATACATGTAGGGAATAAATTGAAATTGGAATAGTTCTGTATGTGAGGAAAACGTGAGAGTTATCAGTCATCGTTTCGTCTTTAATGTGCTTGAAAAGTTTTATAGCTTTTCTAAAGTTGTTGAATATCTGCTGTGGTTCTCTTTATTTCGGACCACCCTGTCATAGTTCAAAGAACCTGAAACGCCCTTTTTAAAACCGTTCGTTTTTGTCCAATTACCTTGGCATAGTTCTATATCAGCTGCCTTTTCACATTGTTCGCGTTAGCGCTGAAGTTTGCACAGCCACAACAAATCACAAAATGCCGATGAATAGGATATGAGCAATTGCGGATGGCGTGCAATGTAAGCAACAAAAGCGACACAACAACAACAACAACAACAACAACGACAACAACAGCAATAAAATTCTTAATGTATGTGGAACATAAATTTGCGCTGATTTGCGTTTTGCCTTGCGTTCGTTCGTTAGATTTGCGCCGCAGGGTCCTTAAAAAAAAACACAGACCTAACGGTAAACTGCATAACAGCTCTTTTTCTTCTTTGCTTGCAGGTTGAGCGTGAGAGCTGTCGAGAAAGTCGAAACAAGGTCAACGCTCAAACACTCAAACATGTTGCAACTGCACTTTGTATGAAGGAGCGAGCAGGAGAGCGTGCGTGTTGAGCTAGAAGAAACGTGCCCATTGTGTGCGCGTGCGTGTGTGTGTGTGTGTGTTTGCGTGCGTGCGTGCGAGCGAGCGGGACAAAGTGCATTTGTTTCAGCATACGATGTCATCGATCTCGGCGCAGGGCGTGGTCGAGAGAGCCTCCGCGGAACTATCGAAACGCATCAACGGCCTGGGATTACGCTCAAAACATCATCATGGCAGCAGCAGCGACAGTGCCTCCTCCAATTCCACGTCCAGTGCCACCTCGTCCAGCGGCAAGACCTCAGTAATGGAGCGCGTTACAAATGCGCTCTGCGGCGGCGGCAACTCCAACTCCAACTCCAGCTCCAGCTCCAGCTCCAATTCCAACTCCAACTCTAACCCCAACTCCAATAGCAACAGCTCAAACTCCGGCGTAGCCGGTACAGTGAATAATCCGCAAACGCCCGACAAGCCGTCGCGAGGTAGCCAAAACGGTAAACCTAGCGCCACGCTCATCTCCTTGACCGGTGCGCAACCGCATTCGCAGCAGTTGGCGTCTGTCAACGTCAACCCCACTGCTCTGGCCGCTGCGCATCACAATCCCGCGCATTTGATGCAACAGCAACAACAACAACAACAACACCAGCAGCAGCAGCAGCAGCAGCAACAACAACAACAACATCAGCTGCAGGCAATGGCCGGCTCCACGCTGATCAACTCGAATCATCATATGGTCATAGCGGGTGGTGTGCCCGCGCCGCCCGGCGGCATGCCGCTGGGTGCCCCGCCAACGCCGACGGTCAAATCGATTGCCAAGCAGATGAACATCACAATTCCGGCGCCCGGCTCGCCCACCTTCAGTACGATGGGCATGGTTGCGGCGCAGAAGGCCACCGCTGGCTGTGGCACGCCGCTTCAGATGCGCAAACAGCTGGCCAATCCGCTTCTGCATCATCCGTACGGTGTTGTTGTGGCTGCGGTGCCCGGCTCGGCGCAGGCCAACCAGCTGGCCGCAGCGGTTACCCAGTCCGCGCTAATACTCCACAAGCACCCGCCACACATCCAAAGCATCGATGCCCTGCTGCTCGACGATCGCTTCCTCAATCGCTTTTTCCAGTACTTCTCGCCGTACGAGAGACGAGTGCTCGCCCAGGTGTGCATCAAGTGGCGGGACATACTGTACCGCAGCCCTCGCTACTGGTCCGGCCTGTTGCCCACACTGCAATGCCGCGAACTGCGCCAGATGCCCGCCTGTGATCGGGGCAAGCTTTACACTTCGCTCATTCGACGCGGCTTTCATGCGCTCGGCCTGGTCGGCGCCTCCGACGAGGATGCCCTGGACGTTGTGCACTCCTTTCCGCTCGCCTCCAAACATGTGCATTCGTTAAGCCTGCGCTGCTCCTCGATCAGTGATCGTGGCCTGGAAACGCTTTTGGATCACTTGCAGGTGAGTTGGGATGACAATTCTTCGACCATTTGTATTTTCTGGCAAGCGGTATTATTTTTTTTCATGGCATATGCAATGCATATAGAAAGCATCTCCGAATCCATGGAGTATGTATTATACATCCCAGAGAATCAGTTTAAAATTCAGCTCTTTTATGACATATTTTGTTATTCAAGATATCTTAACCAAACTAGAGCGAACACTTTTCTACATCGAACTACTCAAAGAATCGATGAAATATTAAAGACAATAGTTTGTTTTTATTAGTATACCCATTATTATTATTATAGTTATTAGATTGTTTGGTTTATTATTAAGTTTAATCAATTTTATTCTTTCACTGTGCAAAATGTTACCATTTAATCCAGGCTAGGGTTGATCTTAAGAACTTTGTTCTTTTCTTGCTCTGCTCTTCGACCCTAAGAAACCCTTCTTTAGAAACACTAGAGTACAATTGTCATCCACTTATCTACTTGTTCCTAATCTACTTCTTTAAGAGCTGTTATATATTCCTGTTTTTTATTATTATCTTACCTATTACTTTGTACTTCTAACCATATTTGCTGGGCTCTATCCTGAACTTGTATAAAATTATTAATTATTCAGAATGAGAACATGCTAAATTGTATATGGATTATTTCTTTAGCTTTTAACGCCTTTCTTCATGAAACATTATTTATATGTTTGAATAACAAATATATTAGGATATTTTTCTTTAAAAATATCTGCACTTATAGAGAATCTTGCGTATTTATCATCGCGCGCTGTCATTTGTGTCAGTCAAAATGTGAATCTTCAACAGATTCCCATGACCGTGGGCGGCTCGCTAGAGCTCTCAAACAGAAAGAGAGAAAGAAAGAGAGAGAGAGAGAGAGAGAGAGAGAGGGAGAGAGACCCGTCAAGTTGACGGTGGTCAGTCACACGGCACACGGCGTAAACAAAAATAAACCCAACGAAATTCCTGCCCGGCAAGTGAAAACAATTCTCGATCTTATTTTAATGAAACGTGTTGAGCGGAAAAGTGTGTCATAGACTAGCCCGCAATTGCCCCAGCAGCACGGGTGAGGGTTGGCCGTGGAAGGGGGGAAGGGGCAGTTGGAAATCGTGTGATAATTTCTATGGTTCTGCTCTTTATTCTCATAACGAATTGATGCGATCAATTTCAAGCGCAAATCACTTCAAAGCAGCGCCACAAATTTGATTTAATTTGGCGAAATAATCCGTTGAGCTAATTTGTGCGAAACGAATAAACATATATACATGAACTATTCATATATAGAAAAATATATATTTATTATAAATATAACTATAATGAGTGTGATGTGCATGATGAATCTTTTATGAGATGCGTGCGCAATCAAATTAAATATTCGAAATACATATTTGTGGAAATAGCTGCCAAAACTTATAAGCGCCTAACAAATGTTGGAAATAAGTTAAATATGTACTTATTCAGAAAGAGTTTGGTTAATTTATATATCAGCACAATATACTGGATATATATATGCTGGATCAGTAATATCATTTCTCTTCTATTTACCCTAGGAACGATCAGTCGATTGAGTTCTTGTATGAACAACTTTTATGTTTTTCAATAGGAGAATCGAAAATGTGGAAAATAAGTGCTGTTCTTCGAGATATCTTAACTAAGCTCAACAATTACGATATCTTAACTAAGCTCAACAATTACGAGCTTCACACTAACGTATCCGTATTCTTGTTTTATAGTTATTTAGAAGTAGAAATGTTTATCAATTGGCAAACTTGCCGCCACATTTAAAAGCCGATTTATGTTACTGCAAATATATAACCTTTTACTGTTATTTAGAAACCTTTATAGAAGTTATATTTGTACATTTAGATTGTTAGAAGTAATCGTAACTGTAATTAAAAGATGCTCCCAAAGTGAAAGTGACTTCATTGGGCAAAACCAATTAGTTGGCCTAAATGCTGCGCTCAGCTGCTGACAATACCAAAAACTTTTTCCCAGTTCCATGGAACACATCTATTTCGTTTCATGGGCCAATCCAAAGCAATCTGCCAACATAATCCACTAGGAGCACACAATGAGCAGAGAGACAGAGAGATAGAGTGGGCGTGGGAGACGCACATGAGTAAAGTGGATAATGTTGGTGAACTAGTTGTGGCCAAGTTGGATTCCCATTCAACTCTGGTTCCCTCTCGCCCACTAGCCTCGCCCCTGTCCTCTTCCGTCCTGTCCTGTCCTGTCATGCTGGCTGCTCATATTTGTGGCTGTGTCAGTCAGTTGACTGCGTGTCAATCTGCAATGTCGGAGTTAATTCAATGTGAATGCATGTCATGTTCATGGGCCTAGTTGGATCTCAGTGTGTGTGTGTGTGTGTGTGTGTGTTTGTTTGTTTGAGTGGGTTGGTTTCTAATGCCGACTGATTGCAAATTGTTGCCGCTGGAAATGTCAACAAGAATGGCACGCACAGTGCTGTAACAGTTGACAGTCACAAGTACCAGAAATTTATAGCGAATTTGACCTTGGCAAGTGAGCGCAATGCGCTTAATGCATCTGTGTCCCTTTAAGTCATCAACAAGCTTTCCTTTTCCACTAACAAGTCCATTTAATTTGACATGTGTGTGCGTGCGTGTGAGTGTGAGTGTGAAAATGCGACGGAAATGCGACAGCATTTCCCAATGCATACACATTTAATGGGCCCTAAGAACGCAATTGCCTTCACCGCACACTCGGCGTATACGTAATTTCTGCATTTTCAACGGTAAAGTTGCGCTTTCGAGCGTTGTTGAACCCTGCTGACCCATAAAGGATGTCAAAAGCAGTTGCTGTCAGTCTGAAGTGGCACAAAAGTATTTGCATAATATTGATAAAAGGCGAGGGGAAATCTAGATAGTTAAACTACGTATCTATACAATTTACAATTCTCAACAAGTTTAAGCATCGAGAGAGTGAGAAGGTGTTTCCAAGCTGGACGCTTATACAAATAGCCTACTCCCTTTGTTGTGCAAACACTTACCTAATTAATTGCGGATTATATTATATAATTAAAAAAAAATTAACCTGCAAAGACCTTTAACTAGTCAAGCTTAATATTATTATCACTTGTCTTATGTGAGTTTTTTAATGAGACACGCAAAAAACATGTGACATCCCGAAATCTGAGGACTATAACAATTGGAAAATATAAATGGGATGTAACTTAAATCAGTTTATTCATAACCTTAACTACTTGCTGCCATTGTGGCACGTTGATGTTCTTGCCAGTGGCGATATTGATTTTGTGGCTGACATGTAAAAAAGTTACCCTGGATACGTGTGTTGCCAACCAGCTGGGAATACGCTATTTACTGGCCATAAAAGCAAAAAAAACCAAATGTTGCACGGACTCGGACCATTTCCCATTAACAATGAAGTCATTTCCAAAGCTTGCAGCGAGCAGAGGGCTCCAATTAGTTCCAATCTAATTTGTATATCAGATATTATGCTATCAGATTTGTTAGATATGCATTTTAATGATCATATTTTTAGCAAACACTATTTAAATAAATTATTGTGGAAATTATACCACAAATACTCTTAATGAAATCTTTTGCAATTGCCCTCTAAATACTTTTATGAAGCTCCATGAATGTGTAGATAAAACATATATTATTAATATTGCTACAATTATTATTATTGTTATTATTAATATTATTATTATCATTATCATATTTGATCATCATTATCATTATCAAAATCAATATCATTATCATTATCATTATCATTATCATTATCATTATCATTATCAAAATCAAAATCAAAATCAATATCATTATCATTATCATTATCATTATCATTATCATTATCATTATCATTATCATTATCATTATCATTATCATTATCATTATCATTATCATTATCATTATCATTATCATTATCATTATCATTATCATTATCATTATCATTATCATTATCATTATCATTATCATTATCATTATCATTATCATTATCATTATCATTATCATTATCATTATCAAAATCAAAATCAATATCATTATCATTATCATTATCATTATCATTATCATTATCATTATCATTATCATTATCATTATCATTATCATTATCATTATCATTATCAGTATCATTATCCATTATCATTATCATTATCATTATCAATATCAATATCATTATCATTATCATTATCATTATTATTATCATTATCATTATCATTATCATTATCATTATCATTATCATTATCATTATCATTATAATTATCATTATCATTATCATTATCATTATCATTATCATGAAAATACCACAATTCACAGCCAGCTTAATATACCTTGGGTTAAAGAGGTAATTGCCAAGTTGAGTGATCGCTACATCGCCAGACTAGGCAACCACCCAAATAATCTTGCCACCAACCTTTTAAACAACAACTCAACAACAAGACGGCTCAAAAGGAAACACCCACTTGACCTCCCCCAAAGAGTCTAACTCCACAAATTCCACTGCTTCCCCTACACTAAACACACAAAACAGACACATAGATACACGCAATACATAACTGCCATAGGTCAAAGAAAACATTTAATTATTGCCCAAAAAGGGGGCAGATTTTAAATAAAATAAATAATAATTATGTTAAAAAAAAAAAAAAAAAAAAAAATAACAAGTAAGAGGTTCTCTTTTGTGTTTCTTAACCGATCTAGGTGATATTTTCAGCTGTAGATCTTATTGTACTATAAAATATTCATGTATTCTCAAAATGACACTTGCATTTAAATTGTGTAATATTGGCGAGCATCATAAATAGGTTTATTTACGTCATCTATAGCTATGCGGTAGTAGCGGGGAGGTGGTAATAGCTATAAAATGAAACATACTTGATATATATAGACTATTCTAGAAGCTACATGTCAAGTTTGGTAACGCTAGCTCTTATTATTTACCAAAGTTAAAGTTATCGAGTATCGGAAACAAACTCGGTCTGCGCGGGCAGATCTGAGATCCTTGCGTTCATACATACGGACAGACGGACTAAATCGACTCGGCTGTTGATGCTGATCAAGAATATATATACTTTATGGGGATGCTGCCTTCTGCCTGTTACATACATTTGCACAAATACATAATTCCCTTTTACCCATTTTCAATGGGTGTAGGGTATAAAAAGTATTCTGATAAATCTATAGCCACATTAATTTCATTTTTGCATCTGACATTTGATATTTGCAAATGCCTGGATATACGTTTTGTTTGCACAAAAACAACTTACTTTGTGTCCTCTAATTGTTGATGTAGTTAGCGATAAAAGTTTGTGATTCTCCCGCTTTTTTATGCCGTCAAGCGTGTATTTCTTGCTTTTCCATATTCCATTTCCCATTTTCCTGATGCTTTTGCGTCATGTTTCCGCTTGCTAAGCGACTTTATTGGTATTCGGCTTTGATTTGGCATGTTTTGTTGCTGGGTTTTTGGTTTTTGCCTCTGCGTTTATGAGCAAAAGTTCTCGAGTGTCGCCAAGAAACGTACCCAACTTCGGGCCACAACAATAATAAAATACAAAATTGTGACTAGTCAGATGAAAGTCCCGCGACATATTGTCTGGCACGCAATGTGGGTCGAACGACTATTACTCGACCTATTGTGAAATGTTTTGCTTGACATTTTTTGCTCTTGTAAAGGTCAAAGGTTGAATGAATTTTTCGAGAAATTCCCAAGCCAAATACGTAGACTTATTTTGTATAAATATTTATATATTTTATATTTTGAATCAATATCTGCTAAATCAATCTAGAACAATATATCAGTCTGTAATTTTGACTTTCTTCGGTAAAATATGAATAAGGTGGCAACGCCATTATCGAGTTATAGGCCATTTGCTCTGACACACAGTTCCGAGCTGCGACTTATTAAGTATATCATGAGTCGCATGGAGAAATGTACTTTATTTTGTTGTAGGTTTTTGATTTGATTATAAATTTAAATTTGTGAGAAATTCAAATTAAAGTTAGACCTGTAAACATTTCAATAGGAAATTCTTGGAATGAGTTTTGTTTTTGTAGCCTCAACAAAGCAGCAAAGTTACCATACTTTTACAAAAATATGCGCCTAATTCCTGTTATTTTATTTTAGTCGCAGAATTGACGATTGCATCAGTTAAGCGTAAAACTTTTGAATTAAAAATTCCTATAAAATCTCTCATTAGACTTTATATGTCATCAGATGGTTTCAATGGAGTTTTTCACGGAAATTTTAATTTGTCCTTCTTTACGAGTGTTTTTACTAAAGCAGAACTGAATACTAGGAAACATTTCCTTTACTAGATTGCTACCTTCGCCCCCTTTCCATACGTATTTACAAACTTGCTTTTAATTAAAATGTTACACAAAGAATAAACACAATATGATAATGGAAAATGTAGAATGAGTTTGTAAATAAAATGACAATTGCAGAGTCTGTTTGAACTTGAGCTGGCCGGCTGCAATGAGGTCACCGAAGCGGGCCTCTGGGCCTGCCTGACGCCGCGAATTGTGTCCTTGTCACTGGCGGACTGCATCAACATTGCGGACGAGGCGGTGGGCGCGGTTGCCCAGCTGCTGCCATCCCTATACGAGTTCTCGCTTCAGGCAAGTGTGGCAAATGTGCGGGGAAACATGTGCTCATATTTAATTAAATTACAGGCTTACCATGTCACAGATGCTGCCCTGGGCTACTTCTCACCAAAGCAAAGTCACAGTTTGAGCATATTACGCTTACAGTCATGCTGGGAGCTAACCAATCATGGCATAGTTAATATCGGTAAGTTGTCCACCTACATATACATATATAAATAATATTATGCCAATGAACTATTCCTATGGATATATACTGAATGTGCCTATTATTGAAGCCAGTCACAAGAGAATTCTCTTAAAGCTTTTCAATCTTTCGGGCTTAAAGCTGGCTTTCAATTGTCTTACGCTTGTAATTCACAACTAATTTAAACACGCAAATAACGTATAATGGAAATTAACTGCTTTAATATGATTTGCCTTGCATTAGGCAAGTGAAACTAATTTACATCTAACAATTTTTCATTGTCTCTTCAAGCTTATAAGGCAAAAGTTATGTCGTCTGCGAAATTCCGGGAAATGTTGATCCTTCCTTGTAACCTTGTTGTTATGCAATATATATGTGCTGATTCAGCGGAATTGTGTCGGACTAGCGCCAGGTGTGTGCCAATTAGCTCAGGTGGCATAGTAAAGCCGATTAGGGCCGCAAATTAGGACTATTTCGAATCATTTGGCCATGTACAAGGCCATGTGTAGACACTCCGCTAATTGAAGTTATTTTTTGTGGAACCTTTCCTGGAAAATCATTTCAATGTCTGTTCGAGTACATCCTTTTAAGTCGCAAACAGACAAACGCCTCTTCACCCTTGTCAGCCTTGAATAGGATGTGGCAGCTGGGCAGCGTTTCAGCCCATTTTGTGTGTTTCCATTAATACATGGAGAGTATATATGTGGGTACAATATATAAAATCAATCAAATTTGGGAGTGATTCTCTGCTAAAACTAAGTTCTATTGCGTAACTAACTTTCGCATATTTGACAGTCAAGCATACTTTTGGGCTGATATCTATCCTGTCGATTTATGCAATCAGCAACCCACGCGTTTCCTTTGGTTCGGAGTTTTTTTTCTGGCTGCCTTTGTTTTATTGAACCTCTCCTGAGGTTGATTCAGCGATTCCGAATGACATTTACTTTTTTGTTGGCAGTTCGAGTGCTTTTAGAAATTGGCGCAGCTATTCATTTATATTGCAGTAATTTTATGGCATATTATGGCTTCCAGTACCCTATACCGATAGATATTGTTGGGGTATTTAAGACTTTGTTCTTCTAAATATAAGAAATTAAGACTGAGCGCTTGTTTTATATGAATGCTTTTAATAGGGTATTTTATGTTCGTGTAAGTAATAAAGGTCCTAATTATAAATGCATAAGTGGCTGGCTATTAAGCTAAACAGCCTTACAGGGTATTCGTTGGTCAACAAATCGCAAATTGGAATTTCCAAAGACATGTGGCTGCATTTAATTCCTAGGGCTATCCTATGGGAGTGTGTTAATTATAAAGTACATTCGCTACAGCATAGGCTACGTTTTTACAGGGTATTTGCTAGACGCCTAACTGCATTCGATTCGTACGGGTATCTTATGGGAGTGTGTTTACTATAAATGTTAAGCGATACAGCATAGTTTAATTTTTTACAGAGTATTCGCTAGTCGAGTAATTTGAATTAATTTCGAAAAGTTATCCCATGGGAGTGTGCTTATTTTAAATGACATACAGTTATCTTATGGGAATCTGGTTATGAAAAATTACATACGCTGCAGCTTAGATTAAGTTATTACAGGGTATTTGCTAGTCGATTAACTACATTCAATTTGTTGGTCGACCAACTGAACTCATCGAAATGTGGTTAATATATATATCATACTTAGATTAAGTTTTTACAGGGTATTTGCTGGTCGACTAGCTGCATTCAATTCGCAAAGCTATCCCATGGGAATCTGGTTATTACAAATTACAAAATGGCTGCCATACCCTGCGGCACTTGTGCTCCTAACTTGTCGCAATCAACTCGAGGGAAAAATAAACACATTGACTGCACACCCTGCTGCCTCCGTTGCCCCCACCCCCGCCTCCGCCCCCGCCCCGCCCACGTGCTATCGTCGTGACCCGTTGAAGTGCAACAAATTAAGCAGCCAGTTGCTGCGGGCTCCTAGCCAACTGGCTGCCAACTCAACAACACGCATCGTCGCCTCGGCATTTCAACGCCACGCCGGAGTCCAATTATAGGGCACGATTCCCGCCGTAGCCACTAACGGTAACTGCAACTGCAGCTGCTGCTGCTGCTGCTGCTGCTGCTGCTGTAGTTGGCTTTAGCTCATGCTGGGCATTGGAAATGAAATCCTGGCCCGTTGCGCTCCAACTGCCGACTTGTTAATGTTTGTGTGGCCAGTGGGCGGTTTGACTTGGCCATTAAACGATTTAAGATAAGAGTATTTATTTAGCTTGGATAATAATTGTTTACCTAAAAGTCTTTAAACTTAATTAGACATAGCAAGCATTCGCTTCAAAAGAGTGGGAATACATTTTTAATATGCCCCATTTTATTAGTCATATTATGTTCCATTTACGAGCTGAAAATGTGATAAAATCTACGATAGAACCGAATAACAAACATTTGTGGCAGTTTGTGGTAGGAATCAAGGAATATATATGTATATATGTATACTAGCGGGTATAACCCGGCCTTGCCCGTGGCACGTATGTTATAAAATCAATGTTTTCAAAAAGCTTTAAAAATGATTTTAAAACTGATCGGACGGGAATCAAACAACTTTTATGCAAATCGGAAAACTCTTAAAATTCACCAAAAATTCTAAAAAAATGCATTTTCCACCGAAGGAGTTTAGATTTTGCGAGAAATGTGAAACACGTCTCTAATGATTTTGTTATAGATCTTTGGAAATAAATTTGAACACAAAACGTCATCCACCAAATCTTCGACCCCCATTTGCACCAAGGAGGGATGGATTTTTCAAAAAGTGTGAAACACCCCTCAAATGAATTTAAATATAGATCTTTGAAAATTAGTTTGGGGCCGATCGGATGGTAAACAAAAAACTTTGATACAACCGTTTTCCGCCAATTTACCACTCTTGCGGGTGGAATTTTCCAAATCGTCGAAATACGTATTCATTAAGTTCTTATTGAGAGCTTTGAAAATAAGTTTGAAGCAAATCGGACACAATTTAAAACTTCGCACAAAAAATCTTTAAATCGCATTCCCCACGAAGAAGTTTGAATTCTGCGAAAAGTGTGAAACACGTCTCAAATGATTTTTCTAATAGATCTCTGGAAATGAATTTGAGTGCGAAACGTCACCCACCAAATCTTTGACCTCCATTTCCACCAAGGAGGAACGGATTTTTCAAAAAGTGTGTAACACCCCTTAAATGAATTTAAACATAGATCTTTAAATATGAATTTGGGGCCGATCGGATGGTAAACAAAAAACTTTCATACAACCTTTTTCCGCCAATTTACCACTGTTGCGGGTGGAATTTTCCAAATCGCTAAAATACGTACTTATTAAGTTCTTATGAAGAGCTTTAAAAATAAGTTTGAAGCAAATCGGACACAACTTAAAACGCCACCCAAAAAATCTTTAAATCGCATTCCCCCCGAAGAAATTTGAATTCTGCGAAAAGTGAGAAACACGTCTCAATTGATTTTTCATATAGATCACTGGAAATGAATTTGAGCGCGAGACGTCACCCACCAAATCTTTGACCTCCATTTCCACCAAGGAGGAATGGGTTTTCCGAAAAGTGCGAAACACCCCTCAAATGAATTTGAACAAAGATCTTTGAAAATAAGTTTGGGGCCGATCGGATGGTAAACAAAAAAGTTACATACAAACGTTTTTCGCGATTTTTCCACACTTGCGGGTGGAATTTCCCGAAACCCCGTCTTAACGTGCACCTACATCACATAAGGTAACTACAGTGAAAATTTCAGCTTCCTAGCTCTTATGGTTTGGGCTGTGCGTTGATCACCAATCAGTCAGTCAGTCAGTCAGTCAGTCAGTCAGTCAGTCAGTCAGTCAGTCAGGACAAACAGTTTTATATATAGAGATATATGTATACTAGCGGGTATAACCCGGCCTTGCCCGTGGCACGTATGTTATAAAATCAATGTTTTCAAAAAGCTTTGAAAATGATTTTGAAACTGATCGGACGGTAAACAAACAACTTTCATACAAACATTTCCGCCAATTTACCACTGTTGCGAGTGAAATTTCCCAAATCGCTGAAACACTTATCTCTATATATAAAACTGTTTGTCCTGACTGCACTGACTGACCACTGACTGACTGACTGACTGACTGACTGATTGGTGATCAACGCACAGCCCAAACCATAAGAGCTAGGAAGCTGAAATTTTCACTGTAGTTACCTTATGTGATGTAGGTGCACGTTAAGGCGGGGTTTCGGGATATTCCACCCGCAAGTGTGGAAAAATCGCGAAAAACAAATTTATTTTCAAAGGTCTTTGTTTAAATTCATTTGAGGGGTGTTTCGCACTTTTTGAAAAATGCATTCCTCCTTCTTGAATATGGAGATCAAAAATTTGGTGGGTGACGTTTCGCCCTCAAATTCATTTCCAAGTATCTATATGAAAATTCATTTGAGACGTGTTTTTCACTTTTCAGAGAATTCAAACTTCTTCGGGGGCAATGCGATTTAAAGATTTTTTGGGCGAAGTTTTAAGTTGTGTCCGATTTGCTTCAAACTTATTTTCAAAGCTCTACATAAGAACTTAATAAATACGTATTTCAGCGATTTGGGAAATTCCACCCGCAACAGTGGTAAATTGGCGGAAAACGTTTGTACGAAAGTTTTTTGTTTACCATCCTATCGGCCCCAAACCCATTTTTTAAGATCTATGTTCAAATTCATTTCAATTCAAATTCATCAACAAATCTTTGACCCCCATTTTCACCAAGGAGTGATGGATTTTTCGAAAAGTGCGAAACACCCCCCAAATGAATTTTAACAAAGATCAACTAAGTTTTATATCCGGAAGCCGACTTCGCCTTAAGGCCCATTGTGGTGCCTATTTTCAACAATTCCGCTTCCTATTGACAGTCAGTTAGTTAGAAATCAAAACAGTGCTAGATGAGCTCTGAAAAAGATTACACCAAGTAGTAGTATTCAGCTGGTCAGCAGATAATATATATAGCATGGACATATTCCTAGCATTGAAATAATTGAAATTGCACTATAAATTGCGTTATAAACATTTGTTTGTTATATTTGTTTCTGTAAATGTAACTAAAAACTAGAATATTTTATGAATGCTGTCACGTTATCAAAAGGAAGATGGATGAACACAAAAGTTGCGATTATGTATTATACATAGCGCTATATAAGCTAGAAATCAAATTTGTACTAACTTAAATTAGTAGGTATACCATATTACATTTGGGCTGGGCGGGCACATAAACTAAATCACCTAGATAGAAATGAGGAGAGCTTCAGGTGTGCTCAAACTGAAAATTGTATTATCTTGTAGCCCTTCTTGAAATCAAGTACATGTGTCGGCTAATGTTGCCATATGCCGCCTTGCCGGTTTCGCCCTTCTCCAACAACAGTCTGCCGAGGGCCGGTTCTCGCATTCACCCAGCGCTGATGGCTTAAAGTTAGGCTGCCGCTGGCATAGAAGTCCATGGGATAAGCCATATTGCTTGGCGAGGCATTATTTGGCGTCCATGTGACTCAATGTCGCCCAGCACCACGGATAGCTCATAGGGATTCAGCAGTGGCTGCTCAAAGGCTGAGCCCCAATCAATGGACAGACGAGGACAGGCAATCTGCACGAAGGCAATCTGTGGAAAGATCTCAGACAGCAGCGACCAGGTGGTGGTCGCAATGCACACGAGCGCTGCCCTGTCGACCAAGTGCCTAGTAATGCGTGATCATAATGCTCCATGGTGAACTTCTTCTTCTTCTCGTACGGATCGTACTTGTAAACCTGCAAAGGGATAGAGTTAATAAAGTTTACAATGCAAGACAGCTGCGTTCTGCCTACCTTCAGCAGCGGGTTACAATTCGATGGCACTGCACTGCTCAATGCTCAATAGTTCCGTGTCCATGTCCGTGTCCGTGTCCGTGTCCGTGTCCGTGTCCTCTTCTGAACCCAACTTGGTGTTCGAGTATGACGGCAAGATCGGCAAGAGGCAACTTCAAGGACTCCATAGATTTTATTTGCATCCAACTTTATATGGAAGTAAATAAAAGAAATTTGTTATAATATCGAATTCTATTTCATTTGATTTTTTTTGATATGCGTCGAATTTAATATTTGTGTTCCTGTCTTTTGTGGATTTTAGTTGCGATTACAGCATCTGCATTTATTTATAAATACATTTTAAGACAATTTAAGCTCTTCTACAATAAATGCTGTACATATTTGTGTTTAATTTCATTTTCCGTTGCTTTTGGGGCGTATAAGCATTTTGACTGTCTTCAAGGAGATGGGGCCCCATCCCCAATATATGGCATCGTCTCTGGACACCTCATGATCATAGTATTTGCCATTTAAATTGCTAAAAGAAAATCAATATTAAAATTAATTGCATTTAAATTGTTTTGACAAAGCTGTGGCGATCAGTACCTGTCTGTACAAGCACCGTACCACCAACCACCACCATTATTGTCTCGGCTTGCGCAGTTGAAAGAATTCAAATTGTCATTGTCACGATCGTATGTGGTGAATTTCCTATCTTTGTGGTATTCCAAGTTATCATCAGTTGCACTGCCCTCAGATTTGCCCAAGGTGATCAAGGTGTATTGGTCCTTCTCGCCAGAAATGGCAAATTGATCGTATCCTCTGTATTTGATGTCACCAACAAATCCTTCCATATGTATGTAGAGCTCATGAGGCTGGGCGCGCGTCAAGCGATGAATCTTTTCAAGTCCTAAGAAAAAATCACCGTGAAAGGCTTCAAAGCCTTCTCGGTAAGAGGTCCAATTCCTGTAGAAATCCTCCTTACCGTTGATTCGCTGCTGGATAACCGTCCAGCCAGGACCTGCTGTCGCACTATCACAAAGTACATCGAACGGATCCGGGTTAATCTTATGAATACCCGGAGCATCAGAAAAGTCGTTGCAGTCACTGTAAATGGGCTTCTCTTCGCAGCTTTTTAGTTTCTTGGCACAAATGTGGATTTCGTTTTTGAGTTCGTATATTTGTTGGGCAATGTTGATCAATTGACTTCTTTTGTTTCTCCAGCTGCTCTTCATAGTTCTGGATTTTCAAGGCATTGGAATTGGGTTTACTCATTTGCTCTTTTATTGATAAAACGTTGTTCGTTAGCTCTTGGATACTCTGTTTGTAGAAATCAATCTGATCTTTCTGTTCCGCGATAAGAACTTCATTACGTTGGTTCAGCTTTTCCTGCAGTTGCTTGATTTCCCTGTCTTTGCCTTCAACCTTATTGTTATTGTTTTGATTTTCCTCCTTCATCTGATGAATATACTTTAACAAAGGTCTCACAGCCTTATAGATGTACTTTCCGCACTGCTCCTCTGCTATTCTGGTTGCCTTACAAGACTAAGAAAAACACGATTATTTACCGCACTTCACGTAAACTTCAAATAAATACCTCACTTTCATTGGCCTGTGTTTCAGCTAGGATGAGCATTAGGCTTAAGTATAGCACATATGGAAACAAAACAGATTTCATTTTGTTTAAACTGCGAATGTGGAACCGACAATCAACACGCACGACAATTGACTGAAATATGTGGATTAATTGAAAGCTCTCTAGTAGCTAAGTAACTGATAAGCAATAAGCTGTGGGTCAAGAGCTCAAAGAAATAAGAGAAAGTAAGAATACCTTCGGCACGCCGAAAATTTAATAGCTTTGCATTTGTCTTATGGTTTTGCTAATGTGTGAGAATAGTGAAGATCGTAAATGCTGAGTTTGATGAAAATATTTTGGAAAACCGAATATTTGCCATACAAGAACCTACTTATCGATCGATCGTTCCAATGGCAGCTATATAATTTTCAGTATATTGTTTCTATGACAGCTATATGATATAGTTGTCCGATATTGATAAGATTTTGCATATATACGAGGAGCATAGTGGAACTAACAAATCCCGAGTTTGGTCAAGTTATCTTAATAAAAATAAGCTTTCCATAAGAGAATCTACTCTTGGATCGATCGTTCTTATGGCAGCTATATGATAGATATACGGCTCCGATCCGCCTGGTTCCGAGCTAAGCAAACTTTCAAGACGTTAGCATTTTCAAAGATATTTATAATTTATAATTTATTTTATATGTACCACGGGCCATGACGGGGTATACCTGCTAGTATGTATATATGTATATATATATTTCTACTATTTCTGTGTATAAATAATACAAATACAAATAATAATTTCCCTAATCATTCGGGCAATAAAAATCGTTCTTCTCTGTAAATAAACAAAATAAACTGGACAAGTTTACAAATATTTTCACATAAAAATTTCAATGGAACTGTTGAATGAAATGAAAAGCACAAAATGCCAGAGCTGAGAATATATAACATTAATATCGCACAATCCACCAGGGAACTGAGCTGTTGTGCGTGTGTGTTTATTTGTGCGTTTGTCTATATACATTATTGTGGCATAATTGGCATACGTATTTAATGAGCATATTTTGGGTCGACAATGAAATATTTGCACAGCATGCTGACCAACAATAAAATAACAAACACAGCTTTTTACAACGACTTTAATTAATATCAATACTTAATCATTTTAATTTAAGTGCTTTACGCTTGACCGCATATTTGTAATATGCGCGCAAATTTAATTAATTGCCTTTTCGAACTTCCTGTCTCCTCTTCATTAAACATGTCATAACAGAACTACAATTTGGATTGGGTTGCCTCAAAAATCAATGAAATTTTTTATTGATTGATAATGTGTGTGTGTTTGTAGCTCCCTTCTATGCGATTTTCATGAATTTAAGCAATTCGTGAAAAGGCAAGCGAGAGAGAGAGACAAAGAGTGCATGGCAAGGGAGAAATGGAAGATAAAGTCAGCCAGAGAGAGCGACTGATATGATGGTATTTCAGATAGTTATCTAACAAAGAATTAAACTTAATATAACATTAACATGTTTTCGTCATTAAATAAAACTTTTATTGCTAATAATTTTGCTACTCATTTTTATAATTCTAAATTCCACTACCAAATTAAAAAAGAATATTGTTAAAAGTCATTTTACCCTAATTAAGTTGTTCGCATAGAAGTGTGAAACATAACTTTGTACAACTAACTTTCAGCTAGCTGGCGACTGGTTAAGTTTTGTGATTTGTGCAAAATCGAGGTAAATCCTTGTCAAGTCAAGGTAAACATCAGAACTTTCGCTCGACAAGCGTCAGCTGCAGAGCTGGACCAACTGAAAGCCGCAACTGTTCGGGCGGTCGCGGCAAAACTTTTGATAAGCTCGCCGACATTGCGTCGTGCTTATCAAGGCGAACACGGCGAAGCCATTTAACTAATTAAATTTCGCAGCCAATTCAATTTGCCTCTCAACTCAGCCAACTCAGCGCTGCCAAGCCGGGCGCCTTCTTAGCTCAGTGGCAGAGCGCTGGTCTTGTAAACCAGCGGTCGTGAGTTCAATTCTCACAGGAGGCAATTCTGAAGAGATGGACTTCTTCTTTTTTATACCCGGTATATTGTATTTGTGCAAATGTATGTAACAGGCAGAAGGAAGCATCTCCGACCCCATAAACTATATATATTCTTGATCAGCATCAATAGCTGAGTCGATCTAGCCATGTCCGTCTGTCTGTCCGTCCGTCCGTCCGTATGTATGAACGCAAGGATCTCAGAACCTATAAGAGCTAGAGAAGCTGTAGGTCCTCCTAGTCCCCGCGCAGATCAAGTTTGTTTCCGATATTCGATAACTTGCCCCGTTTCCAAGTAATCGATAAAAATCGATATCGAAATCCTGTTTTTTTTAGCAATTTCGGCAAATAATATATAAGCTGGAGTTACCAAACTTGACATGTAGCTTCTAGAATTGTATACATATCTCAAGTATCTTTTATTTTATGCCTATCGCCTGTTGGAATAAGAGGGTTAAGGGTATCTCCTAGTCGGGAGCTCCCGACTGGAACCTCCTACTTGTTCTTTTTTAGAAGAAAGCACCTTTGACTTGCCATATGTATTCTTGATCAGCCCCAAGCACCGAGTCGATAGAGCCATGTCTGTACGCTGAGTGTCAGCTTCAATGCAAATAAGTCTCACAGTTGTAAAGTTTTCATTCTGCCAGCTTGGCTGCAAAATCGTATCAATTGCGGATTGCTAATATGTACATATAGGAACAATCTGTTTGTTATAAAGATTTCTTCGCCGTGCCGCACTTGGGCGATCCTCTCGAGTTGTTGCCGTATTTAATGTCTAGAAAATGGGTTTCCTAGCCTGGAGGTGCCAGCAGAACGCGCTGGCTCTGGGACAGATGCCAATGGACGTTTAATTGCTGCGCCTAGGCCAAGGTGTCTATTATTGTTGTTTGTTGTTGTTTTCGGACAGGTGACACATCGTTTGGCACGCGAACGCTGACAACGCCGGAAACGGAAGTCCAAGTGATATGTGATTATCGCTGTGACGGCCCTGGGGCTAATTGGCAGCAGCCATGGCAGAGGCTGTCTGTGTCCGTGCGCGGGTTCGTTCAACTGGGCGTATGCGTGATTTATTAAAACACGCAACCAAAAAACAAAAACCGCAAACGGGGCGCACAAGTTAATCACACGTTAATTGACAATTTCAACAGAAATGCCAGATTTCATTAAGCACACCAAGGCGAACACAATCCGCCTGCGCTCTCGTCGTCATCATCCACATCTTAATCATCATTATCATCATCAAGCGGGAAAGCGTCGGCTTGGGGCTAGGGGCTTGTCTAATAAAGTGGCTGCGGTTCGTTTCGCGCCTGAACAATTGCCATTGCCATTAATGTCAGCGACAAAAAATATATAAAGCGAAGAAAATAAAACCAACAAATGTCCATCAATTTAAACGCAAGTGCTCGACGTCACAGTGAGATTCACAAATCCGTAATCCACGTCGTGCTTGTTCCGGCCCGACTGTCCGCAATTCCACAGAGACACCGTGGCTAAAAAGTGGCTTTTAAAAGTGGAAGCTGATTTAAAATTGGCAGCAATCGACATTGTTTAATTGCTTATTAAATTGTTTTTATTGAATACTCATAGATATATTTTCGACTATATTAAAACGAGACTCATTTGGAAATTATAGTTGAATAATCTTGATTTGAATTTGATTATGGCGAAAGCTCATGTTTTTCTTGACAAGTACTATTTGAATGCTCTTGAACCACTGTGCATCTGCAGATAAGCATATTTCTAGTCTAGCCCACTAAAATAGATGACCCAGGTTCAAAACCCAGATTGTTTGTTTGGCTGTGGGTATTATATTTAGTATTAGAGGTCGTTCAAAAAGTTCGATGAAAATGAAATAAAAGTTGTTTGTATTTACGGGAGGCTGATCCCTTAACTTTGTGCTCAGTATGCTGATGCCATCAATCGACTTAGTTTTTTGGATCATTCTAATCATTGTAAATATTTATATGTATAAAATTGTTAAATTTACCTTTCGTACATGTTTATTCAAAGTAAATAAAGGGAACATTTCAATTTTGCTAGTCCCCCAAATGTTGCACCTTGTGGGCAACCCCAGTTGCAAACTACTTATTTCATAAAATCAGTTTCTTTTACATTACTTATCTTTCTTGTGCCAAATTGTAAATGCGAAATTCATTTTCGTCAGTTCTCTGCACTTGCCACAAATTATCTAATGATGCCTTTTGCTGGTGCCCGCAAGCTTTGCCTCAGATCTGCCGATTGCTCCCTCCACTCTTATCCCCCCCGCACCCGTCGTCTCACACCCTACTAGGCGGTATTGTAAGTAAATAAAAGGACATAAAGTATATATATACTATGTATACTCATTATCAGCGTCAACCATTGAATCGCATCACTCAGTTTCTATGCTAACTAATCTCTCAGATTTGTAGTCTTTAAGGGTATTTCTGTTTGTTAAATTGTTCATTGTTAAAAAAATCATATGGTTTATTTGCGAAAATGTTTTGTTATTCGAACACATCCGCAATTCCGGAAGCCATTTCTCTCGAAGGGTATTTAAGCTTCGACCTGACGACAATAAATGTTCTTTCTTTCTTTTTAATTACATTTACATTTTCAAGGTAGTTGTTGTAGTTGTAGTTGTTGTTGTTGTTGTTGTTGTTGTGGTTGCCAACATCTGTGATCAAAGTTGCCATCAGTGTGCCTTTTACACTCATGTCTGTGTGTGCGGTTTTTGTTAGTTGTCGTGCATTTTGAGAACTTTTTAATTAACTTATTTTCAAGTATATATAAAAAGCTCAACGAGCACTCACGACGCGTGCTGTTGGCCACGCACGTTGGCAACCGCCTCCTCTGCCTGCACCTGCCCCTGCCCCTGCCCCTGCACCTGCCTCTGCACCTGCACCTGCCCCTTGGCACCGCCTCGGTCCTGGCAGCCACTTGGCCAACTTGTCAATCAATTGTCGCTCGCTTTCTTGTTTTGTACACGGCATTGGCCATGAACTTAACTAAATAGCCACAAAAAAAAAAATCATTTATGTATTTGCTTTTACATTTTAGTTTCAAAGCAAATATCGTTTAACAAAAAATCTCTTCTTAGTTCCAATTACGTTAGCCTTATAGCGAGCCTCCATTAGCTTTTGGTGCAATTTATAAGCTTTCAAGCAGCATCAATTTGTTTTTGTGCCGCAAGACAGCTAAAACAGAATTTTATCGAAATGATTTCAGGGCAAATACTGCGCCCATTCTTAGCCACATCTACATCCATCACTGTCAGCCTGTCAGCCAGAGCGTCTGTTCCAGCTAATGAACTCGGACAACAATCACAAACAAACCCCATTGACCCACCTCAACACTGATTCTCTCTGAATGTTCATAAACCATTCCGGCTGTCAAAGGGAACAGTCAAGCATTCGAAGTAGCATTGTTAAATGATGAGGAAAGGTTTCCTAGCTCAAAAACAAAAATAAACAACACAGTGGAAGGGTTGCAATTATGCGTCCTACGGTTCGAGCCGGCTTCCAGCCTTGAGGTTAGATTCGTGCGCCTAAACATTCTTTAACTCGCATTCGGTTCATTTGGATCTCTCAACAAAATTGTCATCAACTGTTGGGGGCCAAAGTAATTTATGGGTCTGAATCATATTAAACGTTTTTCTTTAAACAAAACATATTTTATTTCATTAACTGGTTTGAGGAACAGTTCATTTTGAAAAATATATTGAATATATTCCGGGCCTTAATTGTCCGTGGTTCGTGTCACGGCTAGAACCTTACTCTCGCCTTGAGCAGCTGCTCTTGGACTTGCTTTTTCACATTTATGAAATCACGCAAACTCCTGGGTACTGAATAATGAACAAGTTAATTGAATTTAAGTAAAATACACAAATTCAAATAAGTTGTATAACACAAAAGTTTCAACTAAATGCAAAAAGTGAATAAACAAATGCTTGCCAAGTTTAAGAAAATAAAAGTTTTGCTCTAAGCTGACAGGCAACAAGAACTATTTGCAAAGCATAAAGTCATGCACACACACACGCACACACACACGCACACGCACACACACAGTGTACAAACTGCAATGTTCAAAGTTGAGCCCCAAGTAATATAAAAACTCGTAGATGTAAATGTAAATTCGTAATTGCAGGCTTATGTAATGGGATTTAGAAGTGAATGCAGCAGCTGCTACTTCAGGTATAGGGGTGGGGTGGGGGTGGGGTAGGGGTGGGGTCAGGGGTCATATTTTAGCCAGAAGCAAATCAATAAGTTCAACTTGGGCTGAATGTGTTAACTTGTCGAGAACTGCCTTTGCGACTTGCACTTGCAGTCAAAATTAAAGGCATTTTAATAGCATTTTAATGAAAACCGCAGCGACCCACACACACACACACACACACACACACACACACACACACACTGTACGCAATGACGCACGCGTCGCTGAAGGCACACTGGCCCATAAAAGTATGCAACACAAATCGCCAACACGCCGCACCGTTGCAAAGCTTCGATGTTAGCGATTACGATTGGCATTATAAGGAATGCGGCAGCCACAGCGAGAGCGGCAATTACGTCAGCATTGGCAAGACGAGAGGACGGCAGGACGAGAGGACAACTAGTCTGTGGCCTACTGTTACTGGCAACGCCGACGCACTGTCAAACGACAGCCACGTCCTGGCCGAGGACATTTTGTCAGCCATTTTGTGGGCTGTGACGCCAGTTGACAGCGGCGAAAGTGATGCCCAGAAACGGGGAGAGAGCTGTGAACGCAGATGGAAATTACATATAGAGCATATCTGTGCAGCAACTAACTATAGAGAATGGCATATGCCGAAGTTTAGATACCCTACTAGTGACACGGCTCTTAATTGCTAAGTTGATTTAAGATTCTTTTGATGATCGTCCGTCGAGAACTCGCCAATGCCAAGTTTGGTTAGAATAGCTTAAGAAACCAAATAGAGAGGTCTTCCTCTCCACGTTACACGTTTTATCAGAGCAACAATGTCTGGCTAAAATCTGAATGATTTACTGAAATTCAAAGCTTTGAAGCAAACAAGCAATGTGGTCTTCTGATAGGCGAGAGCGTCTTTCCGGTCAGTTTTCTGGCCAAAACTCACTTAACGCCTTCTCGTGGACTCTACACACGCTAAGCTAGCCACATGCCAAAACTAAATCAAAAGAAATTTAACAGCTAAAGTAAATCTTTAATTGAAAAGCTTTATGCATACTTATAAAACGAAATCACCGTGGGATTGCTGTATATAACATAATTTTTGAGCGCTTTAGACTATAATTTAAACATCATTTCAAACGCATTGCTCATTAAAGTTTCAGTTTTAGTTTGCGGCAAGCTCTTGGGGTCTGCCTGCCTGTCATGGCGGCTTTGATGTGGATCAGGCGTCACGCTCGGCTCTTATTCAAAATGTATTTAAACGCTTAGCTCCACTGTCGCCAAATGGCACCCCTGAGCTTCACGAATGCGTTGGCCCCAGCCGGGACCCAGACCAAGTGTCTGTCCAGCCGCTGCTCGCTATCCACTCTTCAATTCAGCCGACCTCATGCAGAGTTTTCCAAGCGCCTAGTTTTCCAGGTCATCTTGGTGTGTTGGTTGTTGTGCATCTGATTGGCAGCCTGGCCTGGCTTGTCTGCAAATTCATTGTCTGCTCCATTTAAATCTTAAAAAGCTGCAAGCTGTCTTCCGTGCTATGTTTTTTCTATCCACAGTACGTTGCACGTCCAAAGGGAGCTAAAAAGAATACGTAAAAAACTAAAAGGGGTATTGTATAAGCACAAATGCAAGCCAAGAAAAGAAAAGAATTTTTCCTTTAAATCTCTTTTACTTTGGTCATAAGGGGAATAGCGGAAGGGGAACATGTATATAAATGTTGTTCCTTCAATAATGTGGCTTCTAAATTATTTGAATAAAACGGTTATTATATGGGAACACACGCAAGCCAAGAGAAAAAGCACTCTTTTTAGGCATAAGAGGAACATCGGAATGGGAACACGAAACTAAACTTTGTTCTCTCAATAGTTAAATTATGTTATATTATAAAATATATATAAAAAAAGTCATCATAAAAACAAATACAGCCCAAAAGAAAATCGGTCTGCTTTTCACAAAATACTCTAGGGTACAGCGGAATGTGAAAACGAATATAAATGTTATTGCCTATATTATGAAATTGAGATATCATATAAGAACGAATACAAGCCAAAAGAAAATCGGTCTTATTTACGAGAAATGCATACGGGGAACAGCGGAATGGGAACACGAACATAAATATTGTTCCCCTACTAATAAGGCTAATAAGGCTATGCGAATGTTAGGGTATTCCCAAGTCATGTACAGATATTAATAGCCAGCCACAAACAGGCAAGTTTCTTGTTGGCATTTGTATGTTGGGCCTGATTTGCTGTAATGACTAAATTAATGCCCGCAAATAGAACTTAGAATAAGGCCTGTCAAATCTATGATATTTGTTTTGATTGAAATGGCAAACTGCATTTGAATTTGTCAAATTGCCAAATGTGAAATTTCAACGATTTGCAATTCATTTGTCAATTGTTGAGCAATTTGCCACAAACTTTGATGCCGAGCCACCCGCGTCGCATCCTGCCCATCCTAAGGCTGTCGTCAGATTGTTTGCCAAATTGGACTCTCTCTTGTGCACAATTTACACTTAATTAAAGCGAGAGGCGACATTATTCTGGCAATCAACTAGACTCGAACTCATCTCGACGCACAGTTGCTAATTTAATTTCAAAACACTTTCGCCCGTTAAGCATCTATTAGTAGGACATGACCCCGACCCGAACCCCGATCCGGGCCCGGACCCGGACTCAGCCTAGCAGCTCCTGAACTGTTACGTAATTGCTATCGCACCTGAGCGCCAGCCGAGGAAGACGTCAGCCTAATGAGACTCTCACACGTTACCCGCAGTATTTGACTTAGTTATAGCTCATTATTGCAGGGCCCACACACTGGCCCCGCCCACACACTGTGGACTGGCCTCTGATTTCCTTCTGTGGCTGCCTCCGCACTTTCAATTTTTGTGATTATTGAGCTCAAATATTTACCCGGCAGTTCACAAGGGCAGTTAACACAAATATGTGTTAACATAACATTGCAGATTACGGGATCCAAAGACATTTGAAATTAATAAGAATTTTTATTTGTATACTAACTAAAAAGTTTCGTTTGTTTATTTATTTCTAACCAAAGATTAAACAAAATTATGTTTTGGTTTGGTTTAAAGTTCGGTTCACGGTCAAAAAATTATTGTATAGATTAATTAAGTGTGCGGCATAGATTCGGGCAAGCTTTATGCTCACATTTTAGAAACTTTAGCGGTCGATTAAAAATACGACTTGGTTATTAACGAGAAGGAAGGGCCATCTTCGGCTAGCCGAAGACTTAATACCCTTGCAGACCCAACCTTTTCATAATGTTCATATCTACGAAAGCACAGGGAAAAAAGTTAATGCCGAGTATGGTTGAGATGTTTTGAAAAACAAACAACTTTTCCATACAACAACTTAATTTTCGACCGATCGTTCCTATGGCAGCTATATGATAAAGTGGTCCGATCCAAATAGGATTTCGCATATATATGAGGAGCATAGTAAAACAAATAAATGCCGAGTTTGATCAAGATATCTTTATAAACAAAAATGTTTTTCATACAAGAACCTACTTTTCGACAGATCGATCTATGGCAGCTATATGATATAGTGGTTCGATCCAGCTGGTTTTGACATATGAACTGCGTGCAGCAGAAAGAGGGACTATTGCAAAGTTTCATAAAGATAGCTTTAAAACTGAGAAACTAGTTCGCATAGAAACAGACAGACTGACAGACGGACAGCCGGACAGACGGACAGATGGACATGGCTATATCGACTCGGCTTTGATACTGATCATGAATATATACTTTATGGGGTCGGAGATGTCTCCTTCTACGCGTTACACATTTCACGACAAAATTATAATACCCTCTGCAAGTGTATAAAAATTATATTTGTATAAAATGATTTATACCCTTGCAGAGGGCTTTATAATTTTATCATGAAATGTGTAACAACAGACGATGTCCACCTGATCGTCTGTCTTGTTCTTTACGTACTCCTTTCTCAGTTTTAAAGCTATCGTCTTGTTAAACAAAATGAAATCTGTTTTGTTTCCATATGTGTTATACTTAAGCCTAATGCTCATCCTAGCTGAAACACAGGCCAATGAAAATGAGGTATTTATTTGAAGTTTACGTGAAGTGCGGTAAATAATCGTGTTTTTCTTAGTCTTCTGTGGCAACCAGAATAGCAGAGGAAAAATGTGGAGAGCACACCTATAAGGCTGTGAGACCTTTGTTAAAGTATATTCATCAGATGAAGGAGGAAATTGAAAACAATAACAATAAAATTGAAGGCAAAGACAGGGAAATCCAGCAACTGCAGGAAAAGCTGAACCAACGTAATGATTTGGTCATCGAATTTTACAAACAGAGTATCCAAGAGCTAACGAACAACGTTTTATCAATAAAAGAGGAAATGAGTAAACCCAATTCCAATGCCTTGAAAATCCAGGACTATGAAGAGCAGCTGGAGAAACAAAAGAAGTCAATTGATCAACAGGCCCAACAAATATCTGAACTCAAAAACGAAATAAACAATTGTGCCAAGAAACTAAGAACCGACGAAGAGAAGCCTGTTTACGGCGAATGCACCGACTTTGCTGATGCTCCGGGTATTCATAAGATTAGCCCGGATCAAGAAGCTCCCTCCGATGTACTTTGTGATAGTGCGACAGCAGGTCCTGGCTGGACGGTTATCCAGCAGCGAATCAATGGAAAGGAGGATTTCTACAGGAATTGGGCCAATTACCGTGAAGGTTTTGGTTCCTTTGATGGCGACTTCTTCCTCGGTCTCGAGAGGATTCATCGCTTGACGCGCGCCCAACCCCACGAGCTCTACATACATATGGAAGGATTTGTTGGTGACACCAAATACAGAAGATACGATCAATTTGCCATTTCTGGCGAGGAGGACCAATACACCTTGATCACCTTGGGCAAATCTGAGGGCAGTGCAACTGATGATAACTTGGAATACCACAAAGATAGGAAATTCACCACATACGATCGTGACAATGACAATTGGGATTCTGTCAACTGCGCAAGAGACAATAATGGTGGTGGTTGGTGGTACGGTGCTTGTGCAGACAGGTATTGATCGCCACAGCTTTGTCAAAACAATTTATATGCAATTAATTTTTATATTGTTTTTTTTTTAACAATTTAAATGGCAAATACTATGATCATGAGGTGTCCAGAGACGATGCCATATATTGGGGATGGGGCCCCATCTCCTTGAAGACAGTCAAAATGCTCATACGCCCCAAAAGCAATGGAAAATAAAATCAAAAACTAATATGTATACCATTTATTGTAGAAGAGCTTAAATTGTCTTAAAATGTACTCGCAACTAAAATCCACAACAGAAAGGAACACAAATATTAAATTCGACGCATATCAAACAAATTAAAATGAATTAGAGTTCGATATTATAACAAACTCCATTATTTACTTCTGTATAAAGCTGGATGCAAACAAACTGTTTGTCCTGATTGACTTATTGACTGACTGATTGGTGATCAACGTACAGCCCAAAACGTAAGAGTTAGCAAGTTGAAATTTTCACTGTAGTTACCTTATGTAACCATCCGATCGGCCTCAAACTCATTTTCAAAGATCTTTGTTCAAATTCATTTGAGGGATGTTTCGTACTTTTTGAAAAATCCATTCCTCCTTGGTTGAAATTTGGGTCAACCGCCAATTTACCACTGTTGCGGGTGGAATTTCCCAAATCGCTTAAACACGTATTCATTATATTCTTATGTAGAACTTTGAAAATAAGTTTGAAGCAAATCGGAAGCCGGAAACCGGGGAAGCTTTGATTTTCGGAAAATGTAAAATGATTTCTCCATATAGATCCTTAAATTTCATCCGAATTTCAGCGCGAAACGTGACCCACCAAATCTTTGATCCCCATTCGCAACAAGAAGGAATACATTTTTTGGAAATGTGTGAAACACCCCTCAAATGAATTTGAACAAAGACCTCTGAGAAGTAGTTTGGGGCAATGAAATCTTCAGTAAACTATACCTAAAGATATTCTGCAGCGGGCACCATATAAAGAAGAAACTATTAAAAAAATGTGCAAGCCTTGAAAGGGATTTAGGTGCACGATGAAATTGTATAAAGAATAAGTAATTTTATCTGGCTTTTTCGCAACGTACATACCCGTTTTATATGCGTACAGGGTATAAAAACAGCTGTCAAAATGCGGAAAGCAAAATTGATGTCCAAAACGAGCTTTGGGCCGAGCGTTTGGCATTATACTTCTGAGTGCGGCTTTATTTTGTCATATTAGTAATTGAGAGGGCAACAATTTATGTTAAAGTCGACTAAGTTCGACTATAAGATACCCTGCAAGCAGGTCTATAATAAATAAAAGTTAGATAAGTTAACAAATCTTTTGAGAAATAAATTTCCATTTACCAGATATTTCTCTTCCAGGCATTACCTATTTAAAGAAATTATTTCTAAGCTTCTGGGGATTTTAGTGAACATTCTTTTTTTTTAGTGTATGAACCAACGTCAACACACACGCACGCACACACAGATAGCCGCACACATGTATTTGTTAGCATACATATATGTATTTGATCACAATGCTTCGTATTCGCTTGACAGTTTGACATCTTCGGCGCCTAAAAGTAGATAAGAGGCAATGCTTTGAGTAAATGGCATAAAAAACTCACAAATCCAATTGGAAGCCTGTCGCACACACACACACACACACGCACACTCACACAAATGTCGTTAGTTGTTATGGCAAATGTATCTCTCAGGCAAAGCCAAGTTACAAATTGTTAGCTTAGCATACAGCTCTTGAGTGTGCGTGCGTGTGTGCGTGTGTGTGTGTGTGTGTGTAATAACACTATTTCTGGGTATTTGTAATTTGTGAACATGCACAAATTTCCATTTACATATCAAGTAGCTCCTTACAGTTTCCAAGAAATAAATTCGATTTACGCATTGAATTTAAATTATTTCCAAAACTTGTCGAAGATTCCATTTGTTTTACGGCACGTCAACAGAAATTTCGTGTTTATTTTATTTGGTTATTTTTCTATGGTAAGCAAAGTTAAAAACCAGTTAGAGTGTTAAAGTCGGGAGTGCCCGACCAGGAGATACCCCAAACCCAGCCCCAAGCTGCATTTATTAACATTCTAGCTAACTTCTACTTATATATACATACGTAAAGAAAGAAATAAACACATATATATACACACACTTAATTTATGCTGCAGCTGTGCTTCTTCTTCCCTTTGCCCTAAACTATGCAATCTTGATTAACTTCAAAGATTACAATCCGATCATTATCCGTTTCTCAGATCACACAAGTGATTATATACCAAAGCAGAGGGGAAGGTATCAAAAAGTAGAATATGTTTTCTCAGTATACAAGAACCTGCATACAATGTAATTCTACATATACATACACAAAATTCGACATGCAGTTGAGCTTCTTTTCCCCTATGCCCTATGCCCTAGGCCCTAGGCCCTATTTCCTAGATTATGTTTGGGAAATGCAGTCTTGATTTACTTCGGAGCTTATAATCCGATCTTTGTCTACTCCGAGCGCAAGACTCTATTTTTAATCATGCGATTCTTTCCAAGTTTGTTGCATCTAACTTTTGAAAAGTTGGAGTTATGATTCTGAATTATAATGTAAGGAACGAAGTTTTATGTAATTTTGTAAGCCAGTGTAAGCGATGAAATGAATCTCATCTAAAGCTGTCACCACCAGTATTTAGTATATAAATCCTATTTATATAGCTGCCACTTTTTTTTTAATAATCTGAGATTCTCTAGAATATACTGTGTGCCATTAAATATAATTGAACATAATACTGAGATTTGTTTTAGTCACTTGATAGTTGACATTTGCGGTGATGAGCAAATGTACATAATGTTGATTATGACGTTCTTCTATATATGTATATAAATTGTATTACTATCAGTAAGAAATGCATACTTACTATGTACAACATATATGTATATGTATTATACAGAAAAAGATTATCAATAGGTTTTCACGCTCTTTCTCCTTTCCTGCTCACTCTCTCCCTCTCCGAACTGAAATCCGATTCGAACAATCATGAAAATATCTCACACTTTTCACAATTGCCACATCACTGAATACCGATCCACAGCTCGAACTTACATTGACCCCCGTTCCGCCCCGCTCAGTTTGTTGTTGCTTTTCGTTGCAATTTCAGAATTTGTGATCGCAAAAACGAGTAAACCAGCGTATTCGAGGTGCCCCAACTACCCGTTAGTGTCGGTCACAAACCGAAACTGCAACATACACAGGATGCGGCACTGGGATTCACTGCGAGTACACATTGACTATATACTTATAACTCTTAGATTTCGATCGATGCGTCTCGATCTGCGGCTGATAATGAAATGAATTTCAGCTGCGATTACGGCCGCGATAAATACGCGCAAATCGGAGAGAAATCTGTCGCGCTTTAAGGCTTCTAATGCGAATGCAATATGATTTCGTTTGAAGCTATAAATGTAATTCAATCGATGCTGCTTTAAATCTATCTCTCTTCTCAAGTCTCCCAATCTCTCTCTCTCTCTCTCTCTCTCATTCTATCACTCTCTTTCTCTGTTGCTCTCTGTCTCGGTCGCTGTGGTCTATTGGTTTTGGCGTTTAATCGCCGTCGTCAGCTCAATCTAATGCAATTGTAGCATTGCATCTGTATCTGTATCTCTAACTGTATCTGTATCTGTGTCTCGTAGCTGCATCTGTATCTGTAGCTGCTTGTCTGTCTCTGTCCCTTGTGGCATTTCGTCATGTATGCATGAAAAGCTCAGCATTCATTTAAATACTTCAACACATCTCACATGATTGCGGGCCTTTGTTATTGACTGATTTAGCATTTATTTATTTTTATTTATTTTTTTTTTTTTGCGGTTTTTAACTTTGAAGTCTCCCACTTTTGCAGGCCGCGTTGGCCACAATTGCGGCTGCTACCAATTGATGCCAATGGATACAATTACAGTTAAGAGGCCAACAAATCCCAAGAACTGCAGAGAAAAAAAAACATTATTTGACCCAGAACTGAACATTACTTCTTGAGAATTTCAGCACATTTTATTATTTCTTGAAGCTCACTTTTCTCTGTCAAGTGTTACATTTATTTAATATAATTTTCATTAAAATATCTAGTTAGTTATAATTTCAAATTCCATTAAGTAGCTACTCAACTTGGCAAGAACTTGTTGAGGTTCGGAAGCTGCTTCTAATGGGTAGATATCATATGCTATGGCTAGATATAATAAGATCAGCTTAAGTTGCGAATGCTTTGAGGTTAAGTTTTCCTAAAAGTTCATGATTAAGAATTCAGCCGTATTTCGGCTGGTATTTGGGCAATTGGTTATGTTTTAGGTCTCAGTTGAGCTCAAAAACATTTTGCAACCTTGGTTAATAAGGTCATATTTATTATAAATTTGCATCTGTTCTTAAGTTTTCCACACAGGCTTTGCACACAGTCTTTTATTCACGAATGTCGGATAGCCGCTTCTGAGTATTCATATTCATATTGTAATTTAAATCGTTTTTGCATACGTGCACCTTGTGGTTTTTTGGCCAGAAGCCAAACAAACGATGCACTTTTCCACATAGAGGCGAGTAGCTCGAATCCGTGTCTGGTATCTGGTATCTGGCAAAGTGGGGCACAGTTTATCAGAGACTCGTGTATGCCCCCAGTTGCTGTTAGTTGGAAATGTCGAGTGAAAAGCCGCTTAGTTGCTTTGGCGGGCTGCATTTTTTTGACTTCATCTTGCTTCATCATGCTATGGAAATTCTTGCATTCCTCGGCGCTCCTTGAAAGTTGCCTGCCCACCTCTCCGTCCTTTATGTTTTATGCTTATCTCTGTTTATGCAGCCACCGCGCCTGCAAACGGAGGCACGTGGCCAATTCCACGGCAGACTTGAATCCGCCGCCGCCGCCGCCGCCGCTGCCGTGTTCCCATTAGCAAAGTCGCCTTTGTGCGACTCGCTCGCTTAAGCCGCTTTAGAACGGTAATTGTAGCCGTCGCTTGTACACCCTACCCGTAACCCGTAACTCGTAACCCGTAACCCGTAGCCCGTAAGCCGTAACCCACACAGCCCGCAACCCGTTGCCATTTATCTGTTACCAGACAACCCTTTAATATGCTCATTTGCTTACGAAAAGCCAAAGAACTCGCAAAGTCGTGAGCTTAATCCGAAAACCTGAGCGAGTCGAGTTCACATGTCGAGATCCCTTACTCTATGCAGAAAGGGTATTGCAAATGCTAAACAATTGCCTCGCAAACTTTTTTAACCTGCTTTGACTTCTTTTATTTTCTCAATTTGTGAGAGTATTTCTGAATGAAGCTGAATAATCCTTAGATCTTAACAAAAACTATATAAATGCGGAACTTTAAATTCTACCAATCTTCTTTTGAAGTGTTTTTCTTTTAAATTTGAAAAAAAGAGGTAGCTCCAAAATAGAATTTTTTTCTAAGTAGAGCTTCTAAAATTCGTATCTCCTTTGACTAGACTCTTGTTTTATATTTTACATTTTGGAAAGCTTTTTTATAAAGATTATTCTCGCAAAACTAAAAAAAAATCTATATTAATAGAGAAGTTTACATTTTTCTAATCTAACTTGACTAGAATCTTCTTTAATTTCCAAAATTCTATTTTTTTGATAAAAATTAACCTGACATAATGCTGAAAGCTTAACAAAAAAAAACTTTTAAAATTCAATTAACATTCAATAGGAAAAATAAAGTTTCCGCCGTCAGTTTTGCAGTAACAAATGCGAGTTCAAATAAAGACTTTAACTTATTTGTAACTAACATATAGAATGTACCGCAAACAGCTACAAAGAACAGAATGTCCACTGTTGCAACTCAAATAGCAGAGAAGACACAAAATGTGGCACATGAAATGTGGCACAAAACTGAAGATGACGCAACTAGAACAAAGTTGTCATTGTCAGCCGCTGGCCAGCGGGCCAGGTCCATAATTCAAAACATTCAGAACAAAAACCATAAGACGAAGCTACTCTCTAGCTATCTGTGAGATAGTTCCATGACTTCTGAGATACTTTTTAGAGTGGAGCAGCTGGGCACTAATTGAAGCTGGCAAAACTGAATCTATGCAAATGCTTTTAGTCAACACATTCTCACACATTCCGTGCGAGAATGGCCACAAAATTCAATTATTGTTCAGATTCAATTAGCTTCGCCCATACACACACTTGGCCAAAAGCACTTCAAATGCACGTGCTATGAGCATACGTTCATTTCATTAACTTTGGGTTCATAAATGTGCACTCAATAAATGCAGATGTGCTCTGTGCAAAAGGTAACAAGAACGATTTTATAAACTTACGCCAAGTTACTTACAAATATTTAGTGAAAACTCGTTTTAAATGCCTTAATCGAAATGCTTTCCAGCTCATAATACAATTGGTGCAAAAGTATATGTACTTGTAACTATATATCTCTCTATATAAAGCTGTTTGTCCTGACTGACTGACTGACTGATTTTCACTGTAGTTACCTTATGTGATGTAGGTGCACGTTAACACGGGGTTTCGGCAAATTCCACCCGCAAGTGTGGAAAAATCGCGAAAACGTTTGTATGCAACTTTTTTGTTTAGCATCCGATCGGGCTCAAATTTATTTTCAAAGGTCTTTGTTCAAATTCATTTGAGGGGCGTTGCGCACTTCTTTGAAAATCCATCCCTCATTAGTGTAAATGGGGGTCAAAGATTTGGTAGTCGACATTTCGCCCTCAAATTCATTTCCAAGGATGTACATACAAAATCATTTGTATTTTTCGGATTTCACAATTTTCGTAAAATCGAAACTCATTTTTTTCAAGCTCTACACAAGAATATAATGAATACGTGTTTCAACGATTTGGGAAATTCCACTCGCAGCAGTGGTAAATTGGCGGAAAACGTTTGCATGAAAGTTGTTTGTTAACCGTCCGATCAGTTGCAAAATCAGCTTTTTGATTGATTTTAAACCATACGTGTCACGGGCAAGGCCGGGTTATACCCGCTAGTATATATATACATATATATATATATTTTTAACTTTTGGAAAATTTCTATATTATTTTATTTTAGTATATTATATGTGTGAACATTATTCAAACATTTTTGTAGCTCTGTCAAAGCAAACAATATTTGCCTTCTTTGATAATGCAAAATGAGCTGAATATTCAGGTTGAACGAGACGACTTAAGACAATTCCTTTTGGCTTGCAGCCAGGTTATAAGCCAATTTAAGCTGTTGCCAGGTGTTCTTTTTAATGCTTTGTATAATACCTTTGGCTGTGGCTATGGGTCAATCCGTCGTAAAGCTCTTTAAATATTTGCAAAATGTTTCAGCTATAAAGAAGTAATTTCCCTTTGAATCTCAGGCTGCATAAACTATGCAAGGGTCTTAGCCAATGCAGCTGAAGCATGCGGCTGAGGCCAGCTAAACCCCCTCCAAAGACCAAGTGGAGCAACTGCAGCAACTGATGCGTCGCATGTGCTGCAGTATTTGTTGTTCCTGCTGCTGCTGCTGCTTCGTAAACTTTGCGCCCCAGTTGCCACTTAAAGTTAATGTAAACTTATCTTGACTTGTTTGCTTGCAGTGCACTCCTTGCCGCATCTAACGGTGCTCAGCCTCTCCGGCTGCAGCAAACTTACCGACGATGGCGTCGAGCTGATTGCCGAGAATCTGCAAAAATTGCGCGCCCTGGACCTGTCCTGGTGTCCCCGCATAACGGACGCCTCGCTCGAGTATATCGCCTGTGATCTGAACCAACTGGAGGAATTGACATTGGATAGGTGAGTTGCCCGCCCGCCCCACACTCACGCCTGCCTCTGCACAATTACCTCTAGACAACTAGTCCCCCCCCCCCTCCCCCTTCCTAGGGCACTGCTCGTAATTATTCATGAGTTAAATTCAATTTCCGCACTCGCTTTCCCCCCCATCCAGGAACTGCACGAGCTGCCAGTGCAGGTCGAAGCAGCTTCCATGCTTCCAACTTTATTATTTTTGCCATTTTTTAGAGTGTATAACTTGCGTAATAATCTTATGCCAGTTCGATATTCTAAATTGAACTGTAAGTTTTCTTTAAATTCAGATTGTAAGAACAGCCGAACATAAAAATGGATTTTTTAAAAATGGTTTTGTTGGCTTTGCAGCCTGGATTTAAAGAACTGTTGAAAACGAAACAGCAATTAATGCCTCTGTATTTGTCACTTTTAGGTGCGTCCATATAACGGACATCGGAGTTGGATACATATCCACGATGCTATCGCTGACCGCCCTCTTCTTGCGCTGGTGCTCCCAGGTGCGTGATTTCGGGCTGCAACACCTGTGCTCCATGCGCAATCTGCAGGTCCTATCGCTGGCTGGCTGCCCGCTGCTGACGTCATCCGGCTTGTCCAGCCTCATCCAGTTGCGTCATCTGCAGGAGCTGGAGCTGACCAATTGTCCTGGCGCCTCGCACGAGCTTTTCGATTATTTGAAAGAGCATCTGCCACGCTGCTTGATAATCGAATAATTGATGCATTACTTTATTTGAATGTGAATGTGAATGTGAATGAAACTGATTTTCTTTAGATTCAGTTATATGAGTTTTTATTAAGATGCTATTTTCTATGCTATAATAATTTTTTTTAGATTGTGATTTTTAGTCATGAAGTTCCTTTTGTGCTATAAAAACTATGAACCCTTATGGTTTTACAATTATTTTTTGTTTCTTATGATTTTTACTGTGATTTTAAATGGAACTCTATACACATATATATTAAGTTGGGAGCTGTTTAAGAAAGCTATACAATAAAAGACCCCAAATGATATTTATTTACATACAGTACAATACCGAGATGACGTCTAATATTAACAATTATTTATATTTATAACTATTATTATTATTGTAGTCTTTTAAATCAAGTTTAAATTAACCTCACTGTAATTAACCATAAAAGATTGTGCAAACAAAGAAACAATTTCTATAGATATATGTGCATACATATATACTTGATATATGTATGTAAATGTAAATTAACTCTAAACATTGCGCCTAAAAGACAAACAAACAAAAAAAACAAACGTATGCAGCATGCAAGCAAAATCAAAAAATATGCAATTTATTGTTCAAAGTAACATACTTTCAAAAAAAAAACTGAAATGAATATTTATAGGCAAAGTTGCCAACCAGCTTTATACTTAGCTCACCTTTGCGCAGCCCCGAACACAACAACTTTTTATCAATTGTAACATACAATAACTATGCTAGAAATGAACCCGCATTCCCCTACCTCCTACCCCTCTTCAAAACAAACGAAAGTCAATAAAAATAGCGTATTCCAGTTTTAGAATTAGACGATTTAGAGAAATGTGCACGCTAAACTAATGGAAAACAATATTTTCAAACTAAATCGCATACAATTTGGGGGAACTACGTTTGAAAATGATCAAGTGAAAGAGATTTAATTGTATATTCTGAAGTCCCTGTGCCGCCCTTACTAGTACTAGTACTAAGTCGCCAACGACAAAGAGCTAAACATAAACTATAATAAATTAATAAATATATGGATAACTACCTTATGTGAAAAAGATGCGCTACCAAAACATTTGTTTAAATGAGGAATGTAAGGATTGTAGTTTGGAAAAAAAAACCAAATTTAAACAATATTTAAAACAAACAACAAATTTTAAAAAAACAAATATATGAGAAAATAAACTAAAGCATATTTGAAATTCTCTTGATTCATTTGTAAGAAGTTTCAACTTTTTTTAAATTATTTTCTAAATTCCTTAACAGCTAAGTTCTTATTAATATTCATAAAAAAAACAAATAAGCTTAGTGACATTTGCTTTTAAAAAAGCTATCCACTCCTTTGTCATTCCTCGCAGGCGCCCTCCCCATCGTCGTCATTATCATATTCTGTATTATCTTCGCCATCTTCACCGTCCTGCTCTTCCTCTTTGCCTTGCTGATCCCACCAGGAGAGCACGCCCAGCCCAGACTCGTTAATGGCGCCCTGAAAAAACAATAACATATAGTACACGACTGTGCACAGTGTTTGGGATCTGGACTGACGATTATCTTGTAGGGTGTCTTCACTTCCTGTGCCGCAGCGGTGGCGGCTGCTGCCGCTGCTGAAGTGCTAGCATTTTGGGACGCTTGACCCTCCGCTTTGGGTGGGCCAATGGGGGATGTTTCCTCGAATATCTCGCGGGAAACACGGAACTTAATTGGCTCGCCAACGTCCATGAAGAGATCATGTTTACCGCCATCATCCAACGGATACTCCCAGACCCAGGCCTGTTCCGCCTCATCAAAACGCGACGGATGCTGCAGAGCCGCATGTGGAATAAGTATATCATCGAAGAAGCCCAGCGTCACGTTCACTCCCTCGCGGCAACAGCTGCGTATTTTTCCGGTAATAACAGTTCCCACCATGGGCCGGAACACCACATAGCGAAACAGCACCTCTGTGTGTGAAGCGCCGTCTCCGGGCAGAATAATCGAGTCCTTCAGTGAGACGATCTCCTTGAGTGCTATGCACAAGCCAACGTTCAGCAACACCTGTCAAAGGCGCAGCACAAGTTACTCAATAGATGTATTCCGAAATCGTTCAAATTACCTTATTAGCCAGTTTCCTGTCAATTTCGTCACGCACCGCATCCACAAGCTTCAAATTAAAGTGGTCGGGCGCAATGCGTACGTTGTCTTTAAGTTCTGCCAGTACAAACATGTTTAATAACCATCTACTTCTTCTTAACTAACTTGGTCTTATATTGATGGGCGCGAACTATATAAATATTATTAGCCGGCGCGATTATTTTATTGTAGCCTCATTGTTTCACAGCTGTTATGTTATTAACATCTAGAGGTAACAGAGTCACAATGGAGCCATAACAGAACAGCTGTTGCTTAACTTCTATATCGATAGCCGATTGCTGTCAGCGTGCAATGTTGAATGGCAAAAGTATCAGCTGTTCGCGAATCACACGTGCAAGTTGATTTCACAATTATTTTTAACTAAAACGTGAATTTCAAAAGTTGAAAGCATTTAAAAAGGACGGCCTGCAACACAACAAGCGATAATTGTTTATGGTTGATAGACTGAGCACCTACGCACACCTGTTGCACTCACAGACGAGATGACCGATGCACACAAATATAGCGATCCGGAGGAGGATGACGAGAATCTGAAAAATGTAAGTTTAAACATAAATTTTGTAAATGCAAAGTAATATTTGTAAATAAAATGCAATGCGTTGAAGTCTGAGTGGGTGGAAGACTTTAAATCGCTTACAGTGAAGCACGACATTTTTAAGAACATCAAACAGAAAGAAAAAGGAGTAAGCGACGACCTGTGCCAGCAAATTATTGATAACACCAATCCGGCCGAGGAAACTGATTCGGACTATCCGGATGAGTATGAAGACGACGATTACGACCAGGGCGACGACTACGATGCATACGAAGAAGCCTACAGCGGTTTTAACAAGCAGAACGCGCAATCACAGCTAACAACAGGTGGGGGCAACAGTACCAGAACCGGTACCGGCACTTGTTCTGGCGGTACAGTAGGAGGCGGCACTCAGCGCGTGAGCAGCTACCAGCCGAATGAGAAGGTGCTGCGGCGATACTCAGCCCGGATAAATGTCGAGAAGTACGATCCAAACGCCAATATGAGCGCACAAGCGGCCAACCGGTTGGTAAGCTTCGATCGACGCCAGGAGACAGAGCGAGTGCGTGTGAGGGACAAGCACGATCGCGCCACAGCGGAGCAGGTGATGGATCCACGAACACGCATGATACTCTTCAAGCTGCTTAACCGCGGTCTTATTCAAGAGATCAACGGCTGCATATCCACCGGCAAAGAGGCAAATGTGTACCATGCTGTCTCCAAGAATGCAACCGATGAGTATGCTATCAAAATCTACAAGACCTCAATTCTAGTGTTCAAAGATCGTGACAAGTACGTTTCGGGCGAGTTTCGCTTCCGTCATGGCTACTGCAAGCACAATCCTCGCAAGATGGTGCGCACCTGGGCAGAAAAGGAGATGCGTAACTACCTGCGCATGCGCAATGCTGGTGTGCCCGTTCCCGAACCCATTCTGCTGCGTTCGCATGTGTTGGTCATGCGCTTTTGCGGTCGCGACGGCTGGCCAGCTCCAAAGCTGAAAGACGTGGAGCTGAGTACTTCAAAGGCGCGCGAGCTGTACCGCGACTGCGTGGTCATTATGTGGCGCATATACAATCAGTGTCGGCTGGTGCATGCGGATCTCTCCGAGTTCAATATACTGTTCCAAGATGGCCAACTGGTGATTATTGATGTTAGCCAGTCGGTCGAGCACGATCATCCACATGCGTTCGACTTTCTACGCAAGGACTGCACCAACATATCGGAATTCTTCCGCAAAAAATCGGTGGCCACCATGACGGTCAAGGAGCTGTTTGACTTTATAACGGACCAGACCATAAACGAACAAAATATGGAGGAATGCTTGGAGCGCATTTCGGAGCGTATTATGGATCGAGACTTTGATGCCATCACAGCGCAAGAGAAGATCGATGCGGCTGTTTGGCAGAACACCTACATTCCCAAACGCTTGGATGAGGTAAATACCACAAAAAAAATATCAGTTTTCCAATTCTAATCCATTATTATACCCCAGGTGCCGCATTTTGAGCGCGATGTGACAAAAGCTAAGCAGGGTGTCCAGCAGAATCTTGTCTACGCAAAAATCACGGGTCTTACGCCACAATTAGATGTTCAGAAACAGCCGGACATTTTGGATGCCGAACATAACAGTGCGGAAAGTGAGCAGCAGACAAGTGGCAACGAGAGCGACGAATCGCAGGAGGACGATGACACGTCAAAGTTCAAAAACTCGGCACGGCCACGTGACGAATCGCCCGACAGCAAAAAGGCCCGCAAAAAGGCGGTAAAGGATGCTAAGGCAGAACAACGGAAGGTTAAAGTTAAGAAGCATGTAAAGAAACGCAAGGAAAAAATCGGCACCATCAAAAAGTAGTCGAACCTTTATCAATAAGTTTTTCTAACTCCATTATCTCCAATGTAAACAAACTTCCAAATCAATTTCGGAGTTCAGATTGTGCTCAAGCACACAATATATTTATTTTACATGTAAAAAATGTATAAAAAAAACTTGGAATGTACATAAACCTCTTTGATAACCACTAAAACGGGCTTACCTTGCATTAGATAATTATAATTTGTTTATAGCAACAGTTCTGCTGCTTACTATTCATATATTCTTCTGTATATGTAGGATATGTTTGAATACTTAAGACGTTAAGGAAACTGATGTTTCTTATTGTTTCATTCCCATTAAATCAATTGACGTTAAAGCCTTGTTCCATTCCACGTCTTCTATGCAAACTGTCAAACAATTAGTGCTTTTAAAAAGTTTGACACAAAAGAAGAAAAAGCATTTCAACTGCAAATAGGCTTAACAAAATTTTGATCTTCAAATATTGTATTAGCAATTTACAAGACTTAAAAGGGAAAACAGTTATTGAGAATCGAAGGATGTCTTTAACTTTCGATAATGCGCTACAAAAAATTGTTATGCAACTGAAGGTTCCATCGAAAGAACATAAGGCCTTTCTCTGTGATGCTACCTACCTCGCCGGCTGGATCAATAAAGCGCTCAAGGAGCGTAGATCAATGCTCGCCGGCAGTTTCAGTAATTTGCCGGCAACTGGTAAGGATTGCAGCGCCTGCCCAGTCAGTATTCACATTGTTGCCAAATCCTTGCAGCCACCTATATATGCGGAAATAATATAGACTTACCTGCCAACTTTAATTGTTATCTGCTGTTGGATTTACGGTTTCCGTTCTACACAGATATTAAGGACGACGACTACATCTATTTGCACTCGGTCTTCAAGGAGCAGATAGTAGGTGATTCGCTAATTTCTTCCGTGTATCTGCAGACACATCTACGCAACGATTTGGACGGACTCTTGAAATCACAGCCAACAGTTAACTGCAAAACGGGAACCGGACGCAGCTACCAATTATGCTACCACACAACTAAGTATCCAGTCAGTGCCCACACCATTATCGCAACCCAGCTGAAGGCGAATAACAATACGCGCATTGTATTTGAATTTTTGGTAGCCATTAAGCTGCCAATATCCAAGTTTCCTAGACCAGTATGTGTCCCGGTGCCCGAGTCTATGGCGAACATGGAGCTGGGCTACTGGGTGGCGCTGCCCGTGCCACATTTCGACGTGAACTTTAACGGGCACAGCTATTTGGGCCGCAGCCATGTCTGGCAGAAGGCGTCTCCTGGGCAACGCCAGCGATGGTGTTTGGTCGTGCGATTGTTCTTTATGATGAGCAGAGGCAATGGGACACTGAACACCATCGGGATTCATGCACTCAAGCACACGTGCGTTAATCTCTGTGAGAAATTTGGCGTGGACAAAGCTGATCGGCCCCTCGGCCTAAAGATAATGGACGTAAGAAGTACTCCTATTTAATTTCAATGATATCCTGTAAGGAACTGCTTTTAGATGATGATTACACACGGCACTCGAAAGCTAAGAGAAGTATCTAACGCCAGTAGGAATGGGCAAATTGTTAACTTGGAGATACATCCTGCTCTGCCTGCCGACTGTGCCAAAACAGATGTAATGCTCACCACGATGAAGTCCAAAATGACTAATAAAAATGGCTGTGACATGGAGAACTTACGTCTGCTATTCGGACTAGCGAAGCTGAGGAAAATATAGCCAAATCGATTAAAACATATACAACTTAATTGTAAACGAAAATCTCTGAGAAGGATCTATTGTTTTATAAAAATATAATTTGCTTTTTATTTGTTGCCGTCACCTTAAAATTTGTGTAAAAATTGTTATACCATAGAACTGAAAAGAAAGAAAAACATCGATTAACAGCTTGCATATGTCTGGGAGGTTAGCTTAACAACAGAAAAACTTTCGCAGCTGCCTGACGAGTAACTTAAAATAATCATAAATATAGTTATGAAATATGAAAGATTTTTTGCACATCTCCAACTCAAGCCTAACGGAACAAATCTAAAGCCTATGTGGCAGCCCTTGTCCACATGCAACTCTCTGTTTAGTTTGAAATTTAACGTAAATGTCAATTTGTGGATTTCAATTGTCATGATTTTCTTCAAACAAGTAGTCGCTGTGATAAAAAGCGAATGTTGGGAGTCAGCACGTAGGCGCAGGTAAAATTTAGAATTCGTAACATTTAAGAGCAATCAACAAATTGATAGCCTAGCCCTGCGCATTCGGTACAAAATGTCTGATCATTTTACAGATATTAACCAAACAGCAACTGATTCCGATTCAGCAGACACGCCACCACAGCTATCGAAAATTGGATTACGCCGAGCTCATAGAATGTCTAAGACGAATGAATCGCAGCGTCTGCTCAGATCGCAGACGGCCGACAAGGAGGACGACGAACTGTTTGTCAAGTTGCCAAAGTTCAGTAAGCGACTGCGTGGCAAGAGCTCAGCCGAGGCCCAGGAGCCGGATGCCGTCGATACCAGCACCAAGGAGCTGTTGCCGGCCAATCAAAGGCTGTACAAATACCTAAAACAGCCCAATTGCCAGCGCTGGATTTGGTGCGAGTTCATAGAGTCCTTCATCGACAAGGCGATACTGGGCAGCTCCTATGACATGAACAACTACGTCCAGAGCTGTTTTCCGCAACTGGAGACGCGTCAAATGCCACGACGCTGCTGGCAGCTGATTCGCCGAAACATGGGCAAGGCTCGTCGCTTCTCGCCGGCATTTATTGCTGGCGAGCGCATCGAATTGGAGCGCAGTCGTCGCATTGTTCGTCAACTGCAGCAGCGCAAGTTCGATATGGAGCAAGACGGACAATCTCTGGAGCTGATGCCCAAACAGATACCCATGCCACTGCCCGTGGATGTCAAGGTGATCAGCCTGCTGAGCGCACCACAGTTGATGCTTTGCAAGGGACGCGTCATCGGCTACGAGCCGAGGGACAGCAGTTACCTGATTAAGTTTAACATAGCGGGCAAGCATACCGTGCTCAGCATGCCTGATTGTCATCTCCATGTGCTTCAGGAGTGCAAAACCTTTCCGCTGGCCAGCATCGTCCAGGAGACTGAAGACAAGCAGCTGACCACCTCAGAAATCTCCGTCGATACCGAGGAACCGAAGCCCCTAATGGATGCGCTGTTGCAACTGCAAAAGCTTCTGGTCCTCAAACGTAAAACCGTCCAGGACATGGCCAGCATGAACGAGGAATTGGAAGCCAGTGGCTTGCCAGCGCCCGCTCGGCGGGAGACCAAGCAGACACCGCTGCGTGAGAAGCTTCAGCGTCGTTATGCCTCCAATATGATAACGTTGCATCGGGTAAACGCTGACATTTTGGAGCCGTTGCGCGTGGCGCACCACCATTTAAATGAGTACGAGACGGATGCGCTGCATAGCAAATGCGTGCCGCGCAACAAACTGTACGAGAAGTGCCGCACCCTAGCCGAAATGGACTTGAAGGCGTCACCATGTCAAGGCAGCGTCCAGCAAGAGCCGACGCGAGAGCTCATTCTGCGCCTGCAAACGTTACTCTACTTGTGCGGAGAACTGGGCCACGGCAACAACATCGAGGTTGATGCGGTCATGGATGACTTTGTGTCCAACCTGCTGGTGGGATTGCCGCCCCAGCTGACAACCGAGTTCAGGCAGGTAGTTAACCTGCTACAGCCGCTGCGCGAACACATCCTGGCCATGAGCAAGACAGAAGCAGAGCCGTGCCAGCAGCTATTTCAATCAGATGCTGCAGGGCTTCTTTTGCCCAATGAAGAGTCTGATATCGAGATGGGCTTGTAGAAGCTACTGAACAGGAAGATTCATAATTTTAATACATTTATTTGAACTGGATAAGCGCAATACATCAAGCAAACAAAAACCTTGATAACTATTACATTTCTCATAACTTTAACTAACATAATGTGAGCATAATCTGCATCAACTATACATATTCCTTAATGTATTTCATGGCTCTGCGATTAGCAGATACGTCTAGAAGTTTTCTCATCATCATCCTCATCGTCGACTATAACACAGTTATTGACATTATCATCTAGATAGTATTCGTCGCATAGTACCACATCAATGGCATCTACGAAATTGTTTTCCAGTATGGCCAACGTCTGATGGTAGGCCTGATCTTCTGCAGGATTTGCGACTGCCTGCTCGGCATGCAGAAGAGCGCGTTTAAATTCATTTTGTCTCAGCTTCTGCAAATTACCCAAACGCCGTATGCATGTTGTGTACGTGTAAACCTGCTTGGGTCCCACCTCGGCCGTATCGCAAGTTCCGTAGAAAAATACATTGTACTTTCGATCGCCAGCCTGCAGAACACGGGCCGGCCACGGGCGGTATCCTTTCAATTTGGCGAATAGAAAATCGCCTTTTTTGAACTGCTCGTGCCTAATGGCTGTACGGCTCATTTGTATTTATAAATTAATTTTCAGCTGAGCGCGAAAGACAAAATAACTGTTTCAGCAGTGTTGCCAGACCGAATCTAACGCACAGGGTGCACTATGATTCGACCAGTGTTGCTCGCAGAATTTCAATCGATACATGAGTGGAATAATCCCTATAACATTTATTTGATGTGGACGTGATTCGGGCACATTGTTTTTTTTCAAACTAGTTGTGCTAAGCAAAGGGGCGGGCTGTAAATAATTAGAACTCAGCAAATCCTTACTAAAGAGCAAAAGGTGCAGTATCCACATTCAGTAAATTCTGACATCCATTAATAAGTACTATATGTTGGTCTGGTAGTGAGTTTTTTGCAATAAAAGTCCAGATACATCATTTTTTTTTTATAGATATGTAAAAATATTATTTTTTTTATGTACATGTCACTATTACCAGAAATCTTACAGAAACTATGCTTACAAACGAGACGTAAGAAGTGCACAGCTATTAATTAACATGTGCTTATACTTGGGAGTGGTATGCTAACCAGATATTTACAAACTATCTAAGCACCAACTTATCTGAGTGTTTGTTTACATGGGGCAATCAACTGTGCACATAATACATTTAGCAGTTACGAGTATGTACAAACTGTTAGTTATTTCTATTACTAGGTAGGCACCTGCACTACTTGTGAGTGTATAAATCCAAATCACAGCATAGACTTTTGCTATAACTATACCAAATATACATATATCAAATTCCATTGCATCCGAGCTGCTCATGTGTAACAGCGCTTGCGCAAACTGATGTACACGAGCACTCGGAAGAAGATCATCAGAATGGCCAGCAGACCGAACTGGTGCAGTATCGATACCTTGTCCACGTCCAAGAACTTGAGCAGCACTCGCGGGTCGCTGAAGTGGCAGTAGATGTCGTCGCAGTCCAGCTCCTCCCGCTGAAAGCCGAACACAGTCAATATTAAGGCCACCACACCCACGCGTACATAGCTAAACTTCATCAACAGATTCATGCCTCCAGGGATTTGAGACGCAAAATCAAATCCATAAATAGCGAGGCCCATGAGTGGTGCTATAATCATAGGACCCACCACGCTGCCATTCTACGATGGAAAACAAAACATTCAATGTTAAATATGCGATTAACTATATATTCATATATATAACTATGAATGGCTCTGTTAGATAAAGCTCGATTTGGCCTTTATATAGCTTATCGGATGATACAATATTTGTATGCGTGCGCCTTAAAGTATGCAATAGCATTTCAGGTTCTCTGGACTTACTGTTATGCTGAAGGTGGCACCAATGGCCAGGCCCATGCCCTCAGCCACCAGCGAGATCATCAGTCCGACGGCAACAAAAATGCAAAAGCGCCAGAGCTGCTCGGGCAGCCCGGACATCCAGTAGGTCATGGCCATAAAGGTGAGATTGAGGAGCACCTGCAGCGGCAGACGCGATATGCTGAGCGCCATATAGTAGGGCATGAGCGTATACCAGCGATTGAAGGTCTCCTTTTTGACCACCTTGACGTCGGCGGGATCTGTAAGAGCGATAATAGACTAGAGTGAGTGAGAAAGAACTACATTGGCATTTTATTCACCACTTACAGCTAAGTATGGGCACCATCACTTGGGTGTAGACAATCATGAGCACAGCGCCAATGCAGAACTTGAGATGGTCGAACATGCGTGCACCCTGATTGCCAAGCTGGAAGAATATCAGGCCAAAGAACAGGCCGCACAACGTATGATGGATCAATTGGATGGCCAGCGCCAGACGTGCACGCATTGTGCGTAGCAGCATGACGCGCATCAGCACCAGGAACTGCTGCAGTCCGGATATCTCATGCGCGCGCTCATTGTGCAGGCGCTGCGAGTAGACCTTCACATGCTCCAGCAAGGCGCCCGCAGCGCCCATCAAGGTGCCATCGGTGGATGCAGCGGTGCCGGCAAAGATCGCTGGCAGAAATTGACGCTTCGGCTGCTCCACGAACAGCGTCGTGATGGCCTGCTGCGGCTCCAGCGGAGAGCCCGCCTCATCCGGTTGCTTGGCCCGGTAGGTGAGCTTGCCATTATCCGTTAGCTCGCTAAGCAGCGGCACCAATTGTCCCTCCTCGGCATCAATTACCTCAATAACTGTGAACGAAAGTAGCTAGAGATAAGCTCAAGCTGTGGCCATAGCGCACACTCTGAGCACTTACTGTAGTCCGAGGGGCTGTAGTGGCGCGGGCAATCGATCTGCGCCAGACGCAGAAACGGTATGGTGGCCTGCGGACTACCCTGGTAGACACACTGGCCCTTGGCCAGCACATAGATGCTATCGAAGTAGTTGTAGATTGTCGCCGAGGGCTGATGTATGGTGCAGACAATGGTGCGACCCTCGCGCGCCATTTCTCTCAGCAGGCGTATGCACTGGGCCGCTGTCACCTCGTCCAGGCCGCTGGTGGGCTCGTCGAGAAAGAAGATGTTGGGATTGTCCACCAGCTCGAGTGCAATCGAGAGTCGCTTACGCTCGCCGCCGCTCAGTTTCTCGGCGGTGACATTGCGTCGATGATTGAGATTCAGATTCTTGAGTATTTCCGTGAGAATCTCCTCCTTTTTGTGGCGCTGCTTCAATTTCAAATCATACGAGAGATTCATTAGCTCCTCGACGGTCAGCAGTGTCTGATGGTGATCGTCCTGTGTTATATAGCAGGCATTATCTCGTTTTATTTTGATGCTACCCTTGACGCCAGTTCTTCTGTAAACCGTTTAAAAAAATTCCAATTTCAGAATCAGTTATTCATTTTTTATACCCTTGCTGAGGGGATTATAATTTTGTCGAAGAATTGCTTCTTTCTGTTGCACGCAGTGAATACGGCGGAACCAGCTGGCTCGGACCACTATATCATATCATATAGATGCCATAGGAACGATCGGTCGAAAAGTAGGTTCTTGTATAAAAAACTTTTCTGTTTATAAAGATATTTTGCCCAAACTCGGTATTTATTAGTTTTGCGATGCTCCTCATATATTTGCAAAATCCTATCAATATCGGACTACTATATAATATAGCTGCCATAGGAACGATCGGTCAAAAATGCAGTTTTTGAATGGAAAACTTTTTTGTTTTACAAGATATCTTGACCAAACTCGACATTTAAAAGTTTCACTATGTTCTCTACATTTATGCAAAATCCTATTTACATCGGACCACTATATCATATAGATGCCATAGGAACGATCGGTCGAAAAGTAGGTTCTTGTATAAAAAACTTTTCTGTTTTTCAAAATATCTTAACCATACTCGGCATTAACTATTTCCCTGTGCTTCTTAGATACGGGCAAACCATTATGAGCATTATGAAGAAGTTGGGTCTGCAAGGGTATCGCGGTTGTTGTTGTCAGGAGTCCAGGAAACAAACCTAATAAAATGCTGCTTTCTCAAACGAAGCTCAATGAATATGATTTTATGTACATATCTAAAAATGAATTAATTGTTTGGCCTTCACAATGAGTTGGCTGTTATTTCCGTTGCTATTCTCAATCTCGTGCAATTTTATATTCATGCTCAAATAAATGCTAAGGCAATGACAAAGCAGTCCAAAAACTATACTAGTTAAAAGTTATATTGATTTTTCGTATTATATTTTGTTTATTATATTTGCAAGACTACCTGAACCACATATTTTCCTCCTAACATTTGTTTGTTTGTTTATTTAATTAACGTCACATATCCGAATCGTTTTTAAATTCTATAACCGGTTGAAATTTCGATGTCGTCATGTTCCAGAAGTTCATGGGGCATCGAATTTCGTTTCGTTTGTCATTTGTTTTCAAGCTTACCTGAAACCCGAAATCGCATTCAGCAAACTGCTTTTTCCGGCTCCCGAGGGGCCCATTATAGCCGACAGTTGTCCATTGCGGAAGCTGCCGCTGACGCCTTTCAAGATTTGACGCTGTCCGCTGACGCGAACTGAAAAAAAAAAACAAATAGAAATTTTCCATCAGAATGTGCGAGGCGCCACAAAATCAGCTACAAATGTTGGAATTCACTTCAAGTCAAGTTCTCAGTTTCGACTTGTTTATTTAAATTATTTGTTTATGTATTTATTACGCCGAAGTTTCGACTGTCTCAGCTTGGCTCAGCTTGTAACTTCGTGCTAAATGTAACAAGATGTTAAATTTATATGCTGTATGTTAAAGTTTGTATACCCCAGACATCAGGGCTGCAAACCTATGCCTCTTTTTAAGGTTTTAACAACTTTAACAACTACTATTAATTTGAATAAAACATATAAATAAATTTATAAATTAAATTTGTTATATATTGTTTTGTAACAAGCCAAAATCTTTTTTTGTTTTTATATATAATTCGGCTCATCTTTAGTCAGGTAATCCTCTTCCTCTTGGAAAATAACGAATTGGAACCGGTTCAGTTGAAATCTGACTCGTAGCGTTGCTATACATTTAAAATGTACTAATCGATCGCGTTGCGCTTAATTGAAAACGTCGCCTGGTTTATGGGAAACTAAATGTTTATGCTATATGTCAGATCAACTTAACGATGAGACGGTAATAAAATGAAGTTGTATCTGAATTAAGTTGGTAGATAAACAGAGTTTTACAGCCCGAAAACAACTACTGAGTACGGGGGGCCAAGTGTTAATCGGCAGGTGCTAAATAAAGAGCTTAAGGTTTTGGCCAGATACGAGATCGGGTAATTACGAGCTATCATGACTTGCTGAAATTAAACGGCAATTTAAGGCACAAACTGGTTTTCGGCCAAGTCATTTGGTCATTTGGGCAGGCTATGCAGCTAATTAATTCTGTTTGATTATTTCGCCAAGTAACATTTATGGTGACATACGAGTTGAATATAAATTGTTTTAGGCTTGTGGGCAGGAGATCTTACATGCAATAATGGGGTTGATTGATTTCGCAAATAGTTAGATCAGGTCCTTAAATATGATTATACTTTCGCGATTCGTTTCGTAATCTCGACCAACACGCATTGTCTGTGCTTCAGTGTGTGCGAATGTATGTCAATGCTGAATTGATCTTATCAATAGCCCTGACTGTTCCCACTGTCTCAGAA